ACCCTATTTGCCTCCTACCTGTCCCACCCCCCAGGCAACCACTGCTGTGTTTTCTGTCACTATAATTAGCTTGCATTTTCTAGAATTTTCTAGGGTTTCTAGATTACACATGTAATCATATAGTATTTTTTGGGGTCTGGCTTCTTTCTGTTAGCATAATTATTTTGAGATTCATCCAGATTATTACATGTATCAGCAGTTCTTTCATTTATTTAATTTTTGCTGTGTACTATTCCAGGTTTAATCACGCCCATTCCTGATGCTTATATCCTTTTTAGTACTACTCAGTGGTTAGTGGGAACAGGCATTATTTCTGGCCTTGTATGAGATCTAAGTATTTGTCCCTCTAATCTCATCAGGTGGTACTCCCCCAAATCCAACCTGCTTTACTCCATCTTCCCTGGAGAGACTGTTGAGATTTTAATACACATCTTCCCAGAATTTTTCTTATAATGTGGTATACTTCTTTTGCTTTTCTCTGGATAGTGCATTTCTCTCCCTTTTCTAGTAACATGACTTTCCCCCCTCTTCTCATGGAGAACTACGTCTTCCACATTCTGAGGAGCTCACATGGACCAGACGATCACAGTAACTCCCCACCTCACAGTCATTAGGTGGGCAAGTTACCAAGGTTGGTTCAGTCAGACTAAGTCCTCTAGTTACTGTGATTAGTCAGGGCAACTGACTGAGACAGGAAAAGCAAAGTTCTTTCTTGCTGTTTTTCCAGGTGGATGTAAGGATAATGTTCTTTTGCCTCCTAGATCAAAATTTCTCAGAACTTCTGGCAGCTATATCTGCTTTGTTTGAAAAAAGCATCTTTGCAGATATAATTAAGGGTCTCAAGATGATATGTATAATTTATTATCCAGGTGGTCCCTAAATCCAATGATGAGTGTCTCTGTAAGAGAAGGAGACAGAAGAGGAGAAGAGGAGAAGGCCGTGTCAGACAGAGGCAGAGATGGGAGTTAAGCAGCCATAAGCTACAGATTATCTGGAGGTACCAGAAGGTGGAACAGGAAAGGAAAGATTTTCCCTAAAGCCTTAGAGGGAGCAGCGCCCTACTGATACCTTGATTTCAGAATTCTTACCTCGAGAACCAGGAGGGAATTAATGTCTGTTATTTTAAGCCTTTTAGTTTGTGGCACTTCCTTCCTTTTTTTTTTAATTTCACTATATTTTGTATTGTTTCAGTCTTTTATAATGTATATGTGTTACTTTTTAAAATGATACTTTATTGACTGTTATTACAGTTGTCCCAATTTTGTCCCCTTTGCTTCACCCCCACCAAGCTATCCCCACTCCCTCAGGCAATTTCCACACCATCGTTCATGTCCATGGGTCATGTGTGTAAGTTCTCTGGCTACTCGATTTCCTAAACTGTACTTTACATCCCCATGGGTATTCTGTGACTACCTATTTGTACTTCTTACTCCTTTTACCTCTTCACCTGTTCTCCCCCACCCCCTCCCATCTGGCAACCATCAAAACACTCTCCATATCTGTGATTCTGTCTCTGTCCTTCTTGTTTGCTTAGTTCGTTTTTTAGATTCACTTTTGACAGATATGTATTTATTGCCATTTTATTGTTCCTAGTTTTGATCTTCTTTTTCTTAAATAAGTCCCTTTAACATTTCATATAATAATGGTTTGGTGATAATGAACTCCTTTAGCTTTTTCTTGTCTGTGAAGCTCTTTATCAGCCCTCTAATTCTAAGTGATAGCTTTGTTGGGTAGAGGAATCTTGGCTGTAAGTCCTTGCTTTTCATGACGTTGAATATTTCTTCCCAATCCCTTCCAGCCTGCAAAGTTCCTTTGAGATATCAGCTGACAGTCTTATGGGAAGTCCCCTGTGGGTAACTAACTGCTTTTCTCTTGGCGCTTTTAAGAGTCTCTTCATCTTTACCCTCTGGCATTTTATTTATGTTGTGTCTTAGGGTGGGCCTCTTTGCATCCATCTTATTTGGGAGACTCTGTGCTTCCTGCACTTTCATGTGTATTTTCTTCACCAAATTAAGGAAGTTTTCTTTTATCATTTTTTTCAAATGCTGGTAGGTTTCCAATTTCTTGTTCTTTCCTCTCTCCTTCTTGCACCCATATGAAGTGAATGTTGGAAAAGCTGAAGATGTCCCAGAGGCTGCTTACACTATCTTTGTTTTTTTTTTTAATTCTTCTTTCATCTTGTTGTCTGACTGTTCTTTTTTAGTTCCTTATGTTCCAAATAATTAAAAATAATTAATTTGACTCTTGGCTTCATTTGCTTCACTGTTGATTCCCTGTAAATAGTTCTTTATTTCAAGTAGTGTATCCTTCATTTCTGGATCTTTTTTATGCTGCTGAGGTCCTCACTAAGTTCCCTGAGCATCTTCATAACCAGTGTTTTGAACTCTGCATCTATTAGATTGCTTATCTCCATATTCTCTAGTTCTTTCTCTGGAGTTTTGATCTGTTCTTTCATTTGGGCCATGTTACTTTGTCTCCTCATTTTGGCAGCCTCCCTGTGTTTGTTTCTATGTATTAGGTAGAGTTGCTATCACTCCCTGTCTCAGTAGCATGGAATAATATAGCTAGTGTCCCATAGGATCCAATGGCACAGTTTCCCCTATCACCCAAGCCATGCCCTTCATGTGGGCTGAGTGCACCCTCTTCTTGTAGTTGAGCCTTGATTGCTGTTAGCAAGTCAATGGGAGGGATGTACCCAGGCCAGTCAGTTGCAAGGACTGGTTGTCACCACTGACCATGAACCTCTGCCCTCTGCGGAGGATCAGCTCTGCAGGAGCAGGGTGGTGGTGCTCTGATGTGGTCTGTAGCTGTCCACTGGGTGCACTGGCTCTGGGGTTTCCCAGGTGGTGCAAGCCAAGGTCAGCCCCCACCTGTGTTTTGCCCAGGGCCATCCTGTCTGAGTTATAAAGCAATCTGAGATGGTTACTTGTGCTGAACTTGGAGATTCCCAGGTGAAGCCAAGCTATAAATCTAGGCTGGTTGCTGCTAGTGATGGGCCTGGGGCTACTTAGCAAGAGGTATGGGGCCTGGGAACTCACTGAGGCTATTTGTTGCTTGTTTGAAAAGGGTTAGGAATTTGTGAAGCATGAGTCAAGATCAGCCATTCATATGGAAAAGCCACAGTTTACAGCTATAAGTTGGGTGGGACAGAGCCTCAGAGGATTTCTAGGGTGGGACAAACTGCATTAGCCAGGTGGATGGAGTTTCAGATGTGGCACTCACTGTTCCTGTGGCTCTGTGTGAGGAGGGTTCAGAAAATGGAAAATGGTCTCTACCCACTTTTCTGGCAGAGAGAAAGCGGTCCCCCAGCTCTCTCCTTGATGCCAGACACTTCAGTTCCTCCCCATATGCCACTGGTGCCTTTAAAGCTGCTACCCTGGTGCTAGAGCTCAGAGGGAGTAAGTCTGAGTAAGTTCGTGTGTGCCTTATTTAAGAAGAGCTGCTTGGGACTCCAGAAGTGTCTTCCACTGACTCACTCCCCATTGGTCTTTGCAGCTAGAAGTTGTGGGAACTTATTTTCCTGGTACTGGAACCCTGGGCTGGGGGGGCCTTGTGCAGGGCTAGGACCCCTCACTCTGGAGATATCCCTCCCAAATTTTATCCACCACACGTGGATGTGGGACCAGCCCATTCTGCACCTCCACCCCTCCTCCCATTGTGGGTGGATGTGGTTTCTTTAATTCTGTAGTTGTCAGACTTCCATTCAATTTGATTTCTGATGGTTCTGAATGATGGTTGTTCTATATTTGAGTTGTAATTTTGATGTGTTTGTTTGAGGCTGTTAGCCGTGTTTACGTATGCCACCATCTTGAGTGTAAGTTTTGGCATGTCCTTATGGTATCCTTAGGAAATCAATATAATGGGAAGAAGTCTTAGGAAACTAATATAACAGGAAGAAGTGGTAAATTAGGGAGAGTGGAACTGAGGAGAGGACATTGTTATCAATGAAGACCTTACCTAAAAATACGTTTTGAATATTACAGACAGCCTGAGACTTGTCTGTAGGTACAAGAAAGAGACATTGACTTTGCAGAACAGAACCAGACCTGAAAGAATGGCAGAAGAAGGATGACTGAAAGAAGAGAATCTAAACACAGGAAGGACAAAACCTGCATCTTTTAGCTACCTGACTTAGGTCTCAGCACCTCCTTAGTGACAAAGTATTGGAAGTTGTTGTCTGAATTACAGTACATAACATTTGTTGTTTGACACACACATATTTGGGTTTAAGCTTAATTATGACTGTCTGTTTATCTAACTTATTGCATCATTTTGTTTCACTCATAAAAGCCAAAATTGAAAGAATCACTTCTTCATTTATTATCGATAGATGCCTGAATTGGGTGGCTATCAATTGAGAAGGGTTATCAAAATGTTTGTGACAAAGAAGTAGATTTTTGCTAAAATGAGTTGTTCCTGTTTGAAAATACCACTCATTAGTGTCATGCAAGCAACCTCTCAAAATTGCTGTTGCTGTATTTTACTTAAAACACCCACTTCTGTTAAATTAATAAAAGATTTCTGTCTCTCACTGATTGAGTGGTTTAGTTGGATGGAGTGTTGTGTCATACACTAAAAAGGTTTGATCCCCAGTCAGGCACTCCAGGAGGCAACCAATTCATGTTTGTCTTTCATATCTATGTTTCTTTCTCTCTCTCTAAATCAATAAAAGGATAAATAAAAACACATCATGAGGTGAGGATTAAACAAATTTTAAAAAATAGTTCTGTCCTTAATATCTATACATCTGTCCATGAAAAATTTCTTTATCAATTTCCCTTTTCTTTTTTTCATGGGTGTAACATACTATCTAAGCAGCCCTGGCATTTCAGGGATCAAGGGAAGCTAGGGTGGAAGCGAAATGCATTGAAAATGTTTATATATAAAAGTGAGTAGGCCTGCTTATTTTCCTGAGGTCCAAGAGTGCTAATTACCATTCTGGATATGTGCACTTTCAATGATGTGACCAATGTTAAGGAGCAGTAATAAAAGACTCATACCTCTTCCTCTTCCTCTTCCTCATCTTCCAGCTCCTCCTCAACCTCTGCTTCAGCATGAAAGTCCTCTGTTTCTTCCTCATAATCTTCTAAAGTTAATTCCCATCCAGCATACTGGAAAGGTCCTGTAAGAGAGGAAGGAAGGAAGGAACAAACAAACATTTGGAAAGATATTTTTACAATAAAATGATATTAGCAATATTGTTTTGGCCAAGAAGTCCATAAGTTTTTTTCCATAAAATAAAAGACACATTTTTATTATCACAATAACTTTACTGATTTGGATACTTGGAGTATGTCAGTTATCTCCCAGGTGGTATAACGTGGATTATTCTCAACTGATGTCTTGATTTGATCACTATCAACTTCAGCTGTTCTACGGGACCATGGAGCGGTGTCAGTGAGAAATCTCCAGCACAAACTTCACAAACTATTTTTCACACATGCAGTCAGTCACAGCACCTTCTCCATACTGTGCACAAATCTTTTTTTGGACTTCAGCTGCATTTTTACCTTTCTTGAAATAATAAAGCATAATATGCCAAAAATATTGCTTATATTCTTCCATCTTCAATATTAAAATGGCTACACAAATATTCACCAATATTGATGTTTCTTTAAATGCATGTTGACATAACAGCTATCACAGTAGAACCTAACAAAATTGTTTCTAACGAAGTTAAAGACAACTAAGCACTACTAGAGCCATCTCATGAGAAAAACCAAATGAATTTTTTGCCTAACCCAATATTACAGTAGTCTAAGATTAGGAAAATTAATTGCAGTGACTGATCTCTTACTATACATGTGTATGTAAATTCGCCTTTAGAAATTCTTTAAGCGACAACTGGCCAGTGCTGTTTGTGCACCACGACTGTTCTGATAGGCGGGTGCCTGTGCTGTGAGAGTTGTTAAACACTTTAAACACTGTCCCTGGATATACTGAATGTTTTACTTTATGGACCATCAAGAAAGGCTTTAAACTTGCACAGCGCTTTTAATAATGTTCCCTGCTCTGGACAGTAAATGTTAGGATTACAGCCCTTACTTTCCATCGTCTCTACTGCTTTTTGAAGTAGTTCCTCTGGAGTTTTGCCAGCAATCCCCAAGTGGAAGATTTGAATGGCAGAGTCAGTGAATGTTCTTTCTAGAGATTTCCACTTGGTGGTGAAAGATTTGATCTTCTCTTTCACCGGTTCCATTTCAGGAACATCAGGATAAGCGTCTTCAGGAAACTTAGGTAGTTCAACTTTTGAGTAAAGGTTAAAGGAAAGAAAAAAAGAGGCTTCAAATAAGGTGTTTTACCTATATTACCAAAATGATTTATACTTCATATTTTTAAAACATATGAAAGAAATAAACATGTTCTCAACAATAATGTCAATTTATAAATTCATATTTTAATCATGCTTCAATTTCTTATATTGGCTAGATTAATTATCTATTGATAAAATTACTTGGATAATTAATATGTATTTCATATGGCATCTTCAACTGTTAATAAAATGTATCAAATTTGATGAAAAACAGTGTTATAAGCTGGACAGACACACTTTTAATGTAACAAGCTAAATCAGTACAATGCACCAACTGGCAAGGAAGTCCATGTTATGCCTAAAATAAGGGACTACACCCTTTGTAGGAGAATAAGAAAAGCACTTTTATGCACTAACTACTTTTATTTTACATGCTCACCTGTTTCCGGTAATTTAGTTTCCAGGCCCTCTTTGGGTTCTTTTGCAATTTCTGTTCCAACTGTAGTTTCCTCAATAGGCTCAGACACTTAGAAAAGAAATCTAATAGTTAGTGTTTGAATTTTAAGACATGGTCTCTTTATGAAAGTTTTAGCACAAAGAAAATTTCAAAACACAGTTTAAATTGTATACACTATGTCTAACTGAAAACATAGTTGCAGTTAGGAAAAGTATAGCATAAAAATACCTAATAATATAAGGCAGAAAATGAAGAATATTCTTAAATATACTAAAGGACAATGACCAGAATAATATCTGACACACGATACATACAATTCTGACTGGTAACAGTCATGTCTACAGCATTGAGCTAGAGCTGACCCTAAACGGCATAGGAGGCTGGCTTTAGATCATCCCAAGAAGGTTCCGTGGAAGAAACAGTAGGGAGATAAAAAGCAATAAAATAAATAATCCCCTAGACCCTTAATATTATTGTGAGACACTGTGGACACTACAGCCCTCTGGTTTAATGTTTGATGTGTCATGTTTAATGAATTTCTGTTTATTTATTTATTTGTTTTTGGTATTTTATGGTCTGTCTTCTTGCAAAAGGCAGGTGGGTAGGAGAAGAGTCATCCTAGCTATTTAGGTACAGAAGAAAATGCTGGAAGTCTCTGAGTGGGAGCAGAAGTCAGTGGAGGTGTAGCACTCTTAAAAGGTGACTGGGTGTTTTATCCTGCCAGCTCCTCTGTTGGGCACAAGGGATATGATTTTATACTTACTGTCCCATAAAGTTAAGCTAATCCATGTGATAACAATGATCTATGTTGAACTTGAGATTTCTCAGCATGAAAATTCCCATTAGCCCTGTTTCTTTTACCAGATGACAGCAGGTTCCTAGTTGCCCCAGGCTGGATTTGGCTGCAGGTATTTAAAGACCTTCAGTTCATAGCACTAGTTTCTAATCCAATAGTGAGTGTGCTTGGAAGAATTTATGAGCCTCACTCCCACCATGGCAGGGTACCCCATCTTGCTGCTTTAAGCCCATTCCCCAGTCCTGAGAGTGACTTTCATTGCCCAAAGACGCCTCCTTGCCCTGCCCCACCCACCAAACCGCACCCCTGCAGCAGGGCTGGCTCCATGGGTGTGTGACCTGGGCAGTTGTATAGTCTCTCACTCAGAATTGCCTCACACTTACTGTAATGCTCTTTGGTTGTCAATTTGAAATTTTTAATAGTTTTATTTTTGAACTTTGTTTTGTAATTAAAATCCAAAGGGCCCCGATGGGACAACAGAGCATGCATATGAGCAAAGATAGGTACAATATATGTTAGCCAGTCCTCACCATCTCATTCTTATGAGAGTTCCTGATGGCCCATCATGAGTATAGAATTCTAGAGAACCCAAGATGCGTGGGAGTATGTATGACTGAGCGGTGAGGGCAGACATGCACAGATGCTGACAGACCCAAGCGACCATGCTTTCCTTTTGAATTAGGGCTTGCTTCAGATGCAGGAAGAAGGTGATAGCATTCAGAGAGACATGAATGACCAAGGAACCCCCCATAGCCTCTCTTATTCATATCACTTTCCTGTAGTAAACACTTAGGCTGAAAATGATGACATAGAAGGAAAGGAAAGAGGGCAACCCAGTGTTCCTTTTCCTTTCAGTCTTTCCTGACTCATTAGGAAGTTAAAGGTAGAGAGTGTTGGTAGAATATGTGCATATTAAGAAGTGAAATAAAAAGCTGAGTTAGTTTTGTGCACAAAATTTACCAGTATTATGGTAAGAATGAAATACCTATATATGTATGAGCTGTAAAATATGAACTGTGTTAATTTCAGTGATTCCTTTTTCTTTTTATATTTTATTTTATTTTTTTTTAGACAGCGGGTCATGGAGGGAAAAAGAGAGGGAGAGAAACATCAATGTGTGGTTGCCTCTCACACACCCCCTACGGGGGACCTGGCCAGCAACCTAGGCGTTTGCCCTGACAGGTAGTCAAACCAGTGACCCTTTGGTTCACAGGCCACTGCTCAATCCACTGAGCCACATCAGCCAAGGATAATTTCAGTGATTCTGTGTATGAGTTAAATACTCTTATATTCTTATTTAAAAATGGTATTGTACAATATAAAGATGAGTGGTGAAATTCATGCTAATAATTTAAATTTTTAATATTTCTTTACTTAGAATGCATGAAATAACAAATAAAAATCAATCCATGACAACTTGTGAGAGAGATTATGGAAGAAAAGAAAAAGCTTTATATTTAGTACCGTTAATGGCATTTTCCCCCTGCTTTTTAAACAACATGCCCCACCAATGATGTAGACAGGCCTGTCCCTGAGCGCCGAGACAGGGCAGAGCAGAATCAGCTTTTCTACGGCACTCCAAATCACATGCTCCAGAATAACATGGTTTGGATGTTACGGCTGTTCCCTGGGGGCTTATTCTCCATTTTTAGCCTGTTTCCACTTTTTTTAACATATGCACACACATGCACACACAAACACAGCAATGGGCGGGAGCAGAATTAAGGGCACGGCTGTCAATAAAGTCTGACCTGATTCAGATTCTGTTTTGGGAATCTCAGACACTTCAGACTCCTCAGGTAAGAAGCCCTCAGTCTCCTCGGCCACCTCAAGGGCTTCGGGCTCTTCAGGAGCATCAGGCTCCTCACCTTCAATCTCCTCATCAGCGTCAGCATCAGCGTCAGCCTCTTCCTCTTCTAGAAAAAAATGAGAAGTAGTAAATTATCATTCAGGTTAAGTCAGCAAATATTAATTGGGTGCTAGGCACTCTAATAAGTGTGGAGACCCAAACAAAGAATCAAGAGTGGACCCCTGCCTCTTGGGGGATGGGGTTTAATGAGGGAGAGAGATATTTTCTATATATTTTACCTATTAAAATGTAGTGGTAAAGGATTCTAACCATATATTCAGAGTTCTACAGGGGCAACCAGCCTAAGGGTTCATTTAAAGAAGGAAATGTTTATAAGCAGCCCCAAATATTATAACCGTAAGAAACTGGAAACATCTCAAATGTCCCTTCAACAAGGGAAGGGGTAGACCTGCACTGTCTGATACACAGCCACTACAAGATGTGGCTGTTGAGCACTCAAAATGTGGCTAGTCATGAGATGTGATGTAAGTATAAAATATACAATGGATTTCAAAGATTTAGTATGGAAAATAGAATGTAAAATATGCCAATAATTTTTGCATTGATTACATGCTAAAATAGTATTTTGGATACAGTATATTACATAAAATTCATTTTACTTGTTTCTTTTTACTTTTTATGTGGCTATTAGAAAATTTAAAGTTACATATGTGGCTTGCATGATATTTCTATTGGGTATTACCAGTCTAGACTCTGTATATTCTTATAGCTAATATTCAATAACAGAGTGGTTAATCAATACACTGAATGGAAAATTTAAAAGCATAACTTCACATTTTCAGTAGTTACTGATGACCATGTAGTTGCTGATGAACAGAAATATATGCATGGAAATCTTTCTGGAAGAAGATGGGGTGAATTGTGAAGTCACAAAATCCATCTTCCCAGTTCCTTTAATAGATTTATGAAATTGACTGAAAATAAAGGTAATTTCTCTGCAAAGATGATGTGAAAAAATAAATGAACTTGATTTCTGGATTATTGTGGAAATTCTTTCCTCTCAGTGAGTACCTTCCAAGAATCACATTCTAGTGGTGAGTGATACTTCTGGTACCTGAATTTTAATGTAAATCTGGGTGATTAAGTCTCCAGAGGAAAGCATCCTGAAGTATCCTTACATCTCGAGGTCTGACCAGGATTGTAGAGCATGTGGCTTCCAGGTATGTGACTTGGAATGTGGTGAATCTTTGGTGTTATATGGAGAATTTTATGGTGATGCAGAAGAGGAAGAAGCAGAATTTGCTGAAACCTACTAGGGTTTGGGATGTAGTTCTGTGCTCTACACCAGAAACTCAAAATGTCTTCAACTAAATGGTTTGGTTTTTTTAAAAAAGTAAAAAGTTCTACTATTTTTTCGAGAACCCTAGTGAATAATCTGAGTACCATATAAGTCAGGAATGGATTGAAAAGTGTTCTAAGATCCTCTGTTATCTGTAATTTTGACTAGTATGTGTTGTATAGCTATCTATTCTTCATAATAAATTACCCAAAACCTTAGTGTTTAAAAAAACAATAATCATATCAAATGTTAATCTACCCCTTCCCCCCAAAAAAACAACAACGATCCCATATTATCTTTGCAGTTTCTGGGGTCAGGAACTCGGGAATGGCTCGTTGGCGACTCTGGCTCTGGGTCTCTCCTGAAGTCGTCATAAAGATGCTAATCAGGGCCACAGTCATCTGAAGCCTTCAGCAGGGCCAGAGGATCCACTCCAAGGTGGTTATTTACAGCCAGAACTGAGGTCCTGAGGGAGTGGAGACAAGCCCTGCCCCAATTCCTGACTAACAAAACTGGGAGCGCAATAAAAATGGAGGTTTACAGTGTTGGGGCAGCTTTTTGCCCAGCAGTGGGAAACTGAAACAGATACTCTTCATTCTTCTGAAGAATGGACTCCTTTGGCAGTCTGACAAAACATATGGATCCCATTTTAGGATAGTGCTTTTGATCTCATAGAATAAAATACATAAGAAGTCAATTACATTGAAATACAGTCTTCAAGACATCAAACAAAATTCTGTGCTATAGGAAATTTGTGCATCTTTACTAATGCATTATACAAGAACCAGCACCTGGTTTAATAATGACCATAATTTGGGAATAGTGATAAATATACACAAGATACCTAAAACTGTAATGTGGTATCTTCATATTTATTGGTGACAGAGTTAATTTATTGCTAATGCTACTGTGGTTTATTGCCTATATGAATTATTAGTTAAAGGAAGAACTAAATTTTAATGAAAGATTAGTTAAAGTTTTCATCCAAGTTCATAGACCCTTGAATTTATCCATGGACCCCCAGGTTAAGAACTCGAGTCTTAAAAGAAGCTTGTAGGGTAAGTTCTTCTATCATGGAGATTGGAAGTTTAAGTGCAAACGCAATGGGTATAGTAAGAGTGTGACTATTATGTGAACTCCTGCAACACCTTCTAATGGAAGTAATCCCAGTAGCCATACATCATCTATGGCTCGGGCAACCATCAGAAGGTATGCTGCTCATGCTGCCCTGCTGTGCATGCCGCTTTGAGGGTGCAGGAGTAAGTGTCTGTGCCAGGAGTCTTTTTCCTCTGGTCCATTACTCCAGTAACCATATAATTTATTACCCAAATTGGAACATTTTGAGAGTGAAAGGAGGTCAAATAAATACTTTCAAACCATGGCCATAAACCTGGACTCTCAAGGGCAAATGAAGAAATACAGTAACCCTGTCTATAATTCACTGAAATACTACAGTTGCTGGCACTAATAATACAAAATTAAGTGACATATTATTAGTCATATCAATCTGTGCTTGCCTTTTCTTTTCATATCCAGAGCTTCCAATAGCCTGCCATTTTCTTTTTCTAGTCTCAATGCCTCCTCTTTGGTTTTTCTGAAACAAAATAAAGTTCAAAATTTAATTGTCTTTGGAAATTCAGACATCTTACAAAATTATAAGATTTAAGGCTGAGAATAGTAACAACAAACAGTACATTGTTTATAATAGTCATTACATTTTTTTACTTCACAATATAAGTATTTAATTCACTCATATTGAAGTCAGTTAATTTTCAGGGGTTTTTTTGGAAGAAAATTTGGAGTGTTACTCTTTGTAAAGCTGTGGCTATTTATTAGAAAACCTGTCAAAATTAATAAAGGATAATAACTACAAGTTAAAAAGGCAAATGAGAAAAATTGTGCTTTTTTTCTTCCAATTGAGAAATATTCACAATATAATCTCAAGTGAAAAGTATAATATAGAACTATGTATAATACAATTTTAACTTTGTATTTAAAATGAATATAAATTATTAAAAGACTAGTAGAAGACTAATCAAATTATCAATAATAGTTATCTAGATGATGGCATTATGAGAAAATAAAATCTGAAATGAAACAAAAACCAAAAAAAGTCAAAGTCTCATGTAAAGGCCTTGCAAGTTATTTAGAAAAGAGATAAATTTAACAGGATTAAGAATTCCATCTTAGGCCCTGGGTGATGTGACTCAGTGGATTGAGTGCCAGCCTTTGAACCAAGGGGTCACCAGTTTGATTCCCGGTCTAGGGCACATGGCTGGGTTTTGGGCTGGGCAACCACACACTGATGTTTCTCTCTTTCTTTTTCTCCCTCTCTTCTCCTCTCTGAAAATGAATAAATAAAATATTTTTTTAAAAAGAATTCCATCTTGGGCCAAATATCTAAAGACATGTGGAATTCTACATCTAAAGACATGGAATATGTCTGTGGAATATCTAAAGACATGTGGAGTCTACATTTTTCCAGCATCAGCTTCCAAATGTGCCAGTCAAAAGCAGGATAATTTCTGTCATCACCATTAGTCTTTGACTCGTCTATCCAAGTGGTTTATCTAAGTGTCTCATGACTGGCAGCAGAATCCTGCCTCATTCTTGTCAAGTCCCAGATACTTATCAGCAGCATACTTTATCCAAGTTTTGGATAAGGTGAGTCTCACGAGAGAGTCCTGTTTGAACTGCCGGTTCACATACAGTCAAAAGGGGAAAAGAGTGTAGAAACAAGACCCAGTCATCGCAGAGGTCTGGTCATGGACACAGAGAACTTGAATTATACCAACACTTCAGGCTGGATGGCAGGATGTGGCATACAGTAAAAGAACAGCCCCTATTAATAAGAAACACACCTGTTGGGAGAAGAGGTGTGGTAATGTCTTTTGAAGAGAATATCTGTAACTAGAGCCCAAAGGATGCTGACCGGAAGGGAATGACAGGCCCACAGAACAGTCTTAGGAGGACTGTCCCAGAGTGTGCTGCTGCTATGAATGGGCCCCACTGCACTTCACTGGTTCCCGCTGAATACTTGGTGCAGTTATTTTCATATTATTTTTTTAAATATGTAGTTATTTTAAAAAGAATGTTAACATTCTTATACATGTTCTCTTGTGCATTAATATGCTGATTCCTGAGGGCTGAAGTCCTAGATATACTTTCTAGGTCAAAAGCATACACATTTTAATTTTTTTAATCCTCACCTGAGGACCTTTTTTTCATTGCTTTGAGAGAGAGGAAAAGAGAGAGAGAAACATTGATGTGAGAGAGAAGTAACAACCAGTTGCCTCCCATACATGCCCAGGCCCGGGGTCGTACAGAGAATGGAACCTGTAACCTAGGTATGTGCCTTGATGGGAAATTGAGCCTAGAATCTTTTGGTTATGGGACAATTCTCCAACCAACCAAGCCACACTGGCCAGGGCCATATTTTAATTTTTAGTAAATATTTTTTCTACCACTTTAGTTATATCACACAAGTGTATTTTTATTTACTTTTATCATATTATTTCTTCACTTTGTGAATTCTAGTTAGCAAAATTATTTAAGACACAGATAAATATGGTAAGAAGGAAAGAAATCTTATCTGTGCTCATTTTTTTCTTACAGTGTCTTTTGAGAGTAGATATCTGATTTAGAATAAATTTAGTTTGGGACTGTGAAAACATTTCTCCTTTAGAGATTCTAGAAATATTTGTGAAATTACTGTTTTTCTTAGAATTAATTAGAGTTGGGTCAGTTAGACCACTATTTTGATATTAAAGAGATTTATAATAAATATAAATTATAAGTAGATATTTAACAGCTTCATAGAAGATTTATTAACCTGTTTTAATATTCTAGGCAGATTTTACCTTGCTGCTTCTTCCTCTATTTTTTTCTTTTGTAGTTCATCTAATAATCTTTCTAATATTTTAGAGTCAATTTCAGGCTTATTCTCTAAGTACAGTCTATTAAGTAAACATTTTCCTGAAATGTAGATAAAGAGAATAATATTAATTTTGAAGTTCTATAAAGTATAGTGAGATACATATTGAAAATTAACAAAATTTAATTCTTCCTAAATCCAAATCTATTTTCCTTTAAGCATTTATTTAAATAGAGTCCAGATTCTTTAAAATACTAAGAGACCATCTTAACCCTTTTTAAAAAGTATATATTAACATGCCAAAAATGACTAAAATACAAAAAATGCAGTATATTTTCCCCAGAAACTCTTTTCAAGTGTATTTACCTAAAATGCAAAATGGTAAAATATTCTTGGCCCACTTGTCAAAGATTAGTTGACCACATGTACATGTACATGGGTTTATTTCTGAGCTCTCTATTCTCCATCTATTGGCCTATACATTTGTTTTTCTGCCAGTGCTATACTGTTTTGATTATTGTAGCTTTATACAAAGTGACGAAATAATAAAAATATAGTTCTACTATCTTGATGTACTTAATATGTCTCATTTGAGGTGAACAAAGACTAATATGCAATCTTACCCTCAGCCTTATGTATATTTAATTTAGGATTTATAGTGCTGACTGAGAGAGGAGGTATTGAATTCTAGCCCCAAAGAGTAATTATGAGGGCCTGCTGGAACACCCAGTGCTCTAGCACATTATTCTGGCCACCCACTAGGTGCATGGATGCCTCACTTACACACCTCTAGGTTGTCAAGGAATTGTTGGGGTGGAATTTGTACCTAGTGAGGGTAGAGCAATTTCCATTTTATATTTTAACTGAAACTATTATCAGCAATAAAAACTTCAGGTTCAAATTGACATGATAAATATTTACCAACCATCGTTTTCTGTATCTGACAAACAGATTACTAAATCTGGTGTAATTCCTTTCTCGATTAAGGCTATCCACAGTTCTTTTATAACAGGGCAGTTGTCCAATACCCATCCTCCATATTTTGGGACACCAGAAAACCTCTTCTTGTTTTCTTTGGCTATCTGTAAAAAAATTGACACACTGATAGTACCGTCATAGCTAGAAGTCAAGGATGCTACCATTATATATCACTTTTGTGAACCTTAATCAACTGTCTTCTGATTTCTTCTGACTTTCAGAAGAAAATAAGAGAACCACTTAATTTCAAGAAAGAAACTTAAAACAAGAGAGCTATAAGTTTTAAAAATTAAGAATGAGAAGCAAAAGCCTTTATTAAGTAAATATAACAACACTTTCTTTGCTATGTTATTGCATATTACAGAATTCAGATCCTAATTTAGAAGGTCTGGGATGAGGCCCAAAGGTCTGCATTTCTAACATGCTCCCAAGTAATGATGACCTATGGACCACTCTTTGGGTGGTAAGGTCCTAGCCCAGCTTGCTATTTTTAGTGACAACACTCTTCACTTCCCTTTTGCCTTTCAACCCTCAGCAAGAGAGCTGAGAGGTACTGAGATGGTTACTAATAGCCAGGGAGGAAACTGGGTCAAAACAAATCTTGCAGGTGCTTAATGAGTTCTGCTAAATTCTCCCCTTCTCACCACTGAGCAGTAATAACTTCAACAGAAGTATGGAAATTAGTAGTGTGGATCTGTGAATACACAGATTCTGAGGGTTTTAAACAAGTTTGTGTCACTTTAGGTAATCACAGTATGTTAGAAGTAAGTCAAAAGGCAAGAGATGCCTATCTAGACATCTCTGGCCCATCAGAATTTAAGATTATCTGCTTTATGAATTTCCATCTGAAAGAAGAGTCTTTAGAGAAAATATTTTGAACTCGATGAAATGTGTAACATTAAGAACTAGAGGGTAAAAAAGCTATAGAAAAGAAATACAATAGAAGACAAAGACAAATACTGTATGATTTCACTTACACATGGAATTAAAAAAAATGAAACTTATAGACACAGAAAGTATTGTTGGTTGCCAGAGGTGGGGGTGGGGACAGGGGGAAATAGGTGAAGGGGGTCAAAAGGTACTTCCTTTTGTTATAAGTAAGTCCTGGCGATGTGATGTACAGCATGGTGACTATAGTTAACAATACTGTATTGCATATTTGAAAGTTGCTGAGAGAGTAGATCTTAAAAGTTACTACACACAGACAAAAAAGTAACTGAAATGATGGATGTTAACTAACCTTATTGTGATAATCATTTTGTATATATGCATATTTCAAATCATGTTGTACAACTTAAACTAATACAATATTATATGTCAATTGCATTTCAGTAAAACTAGAAAAATATAAATGGTTACTAAAAATGTTACCATCTAGTTGCAAAGATATGAAAGTTAAAGGAATGTCAACATATCATTTATAATTTTCCCATCTCAATGTTTTTGAAAAAATTTAATGACTTTATAGTATTTTATTAAATATTGATTTGTTTAATTATCCTCTGTTATATACATAATTTATATACATAAGTTATATATATAATTGATAACTTTACATCAATTTATATAACTGATAACTTTATTATAACATTGTGCTCATGTGATGGACATCTGTATGTATAAATCTTTGTCCAAACATACATTTCTTCAGGCCAGGTTCCCAGAAGTGTTTTTAGGTCAAACAGAATAAGGAATAAACATTTTAAAGGCTCTGCATACACATTGCCACTTTGCTTCCACATCAATTTTCACTTCTGCTAAGTGACTATATCATTACAGCCTCACTAATAAGATTGTTGTAATAAGATTGATATAAGTTTTAAAATATTTTTGCCAACTTTACAGAAATCATACCTCATTGTTTTAATTTTCATATTAATATTGAAACTTGAACATTAAAATTTTTCAATTAATAATTTTTATTAATTTTTTATTTATTGATTTTATAGAGAGAGAGCAAGATGGGGAGAGAGAAAATAAAAAGAGAGACACATCAATTTGTTGTTCTACTAATTCATGCATTCACTGATTGCTTATTTTATGTGCTCTACCAGAGATCCAACCAGCAACCCTGGTGGATTCGGACAACGCTCTAACCAACTGAGCTACTTGGCGAGAGCTGTAGCTTTTCCTTGATAGAATAATCTGCTTATGTGTCTTGCCTGCTCTTTTTATTGGGATGTTAGATCTTTCTTGATTTCTAAGAAATATTTATATTGAAGAATATGTCATTTTATAATAAATACTTTCCTCAATTTAACCTTGGCCTTAAACTATTGATTTTCATATTTTTTATATAAAGAGAATCTTTAAGTATTCTCACCCCTGAGATTTTACTTTAAGAGTTCTTCCACTGCATTTGTGCCCAGAGTACTTGATAACTCCAAGATCACTTCAATATGGCTACACTTTCTTCTAGTTCAAAATGCAATTTTTAGGCCTGGTTGGTGTGGCTCAGTGGGTTGAGTGCTGGCCTGTGAGCCTAAGTGTTGGTTTCATTCCCAGTCAGGGCACATGTTTGGGTGGTAGGCCAGGCTGGGGGCATGGGAGAGGCAACCAATCTATGTTTCTCTTCCTCTTTTTCTTCCTCCCTCTCCCCCTCTTAGAGATGAATAAATAAAATATAAAGAAAAAAATGCCATTTTAACATTTAATTTTATATTATATGAAATTTAATTTTCATAAGATGAGACTCTAAATTGGTTTTTCCCAATAGTTATTTTTATCAACACTATTAAATAATTTCTCTTTTCCTTTTGGATTGTGATGTAAACTTTATTAGCATATGGTAAATTATTAATCTCTGCTGTTTCTGTTTCTATATCTTCTCTGTGGTTCTGTTTATTCTTTTTTAAAATATATATTTTATGGATTATGCTATTACAGTTATCCCAATTTCTCTCCCTTTGTCCCCTCCACCCAGTACCCCTATTTCCTCCAGCAATCCTCTCCCTTATTCACGTCCATGGGTCATCCATATCTGTTCTTTGGCTTCTCCATTTCCTATACAGTTCTTAACCTTCCTGTGTCTATTTTGTACCTACCCATTTGTACTTCTTAATACCTGAACTTTTTACCCCATTCTCTCCCTGTCTCCTTCCAGCTAATAACTCTCTAAATGTCTCCATATCTATGATTCTGTTCCTGTTTTGCTTTTTTCTTAGTTCGTTTTTTAGATGCAGTTGTTGATAGTTGTGAATTTGTTGCCATTTTAATGTTCAATTTTGATTTTTTTTGTATACAGTTACCTTTAACATTTCATATAATAATGGCTTGGTGATGATGAACTCCTTTAGCTTTACCTTGTTTGGGAAGCACTTTATCTGCCCTTTAATTCTAAATTATAGTCTTGCTGGATAGAGTAGTGTATTTTGCCATGTATAATGCATACTTTTTTGCCCAAATTTTTGAGGAAAAAAATAAGTATGCACATTATGTATGGATAGTACTAATTTCATATCTATATAAGTGTTTTTAATTCTTTTATTTATGTTTATGCATTAAAAGTTTAACTTTAGAAAGTAATAATGATATCCATATGCAAAATAACACTCAGGAATATGATAATTGGTTTTGTTTCTAAAAATCAGTAAATAAAAAAATTGAATTAAAAAATTAAAATGAAAGATTTTTTCCTGAAAGTTTGGGCCAAAAATGTGCATGCACATTGTACATGGGAGTACATTATATGCAGCAAAATATGGTAATCTAGATTTTAGGTCCCTGCTTTTCATGACTTTGAATACTTCTCACCAGTCCCTTCTAACTTGCAAAGTATCTTTTGAGAAATCAGTTGACAGTCTTATGGAAACTCCTTTGTAGGTGACTGTCTGCTTTTCTCTTGCTGCTTTTAAGATTCTCTCTTTATCTTTAACCTTTGGAATTTTAATTATGATGTGTCTTAGTGTGGTCCTTTTTGGTTCCAATTTGTTTGGGGCTCTCTGTGCTTCCTGGACTTGTATGTCTATTTCCTTGTCCAGATTGGGGAAGTTCTCTTTCATTCTTTTTTCAAATAAGTTTTCAATTTCTTGCTCCTCCTCTTCTCCTTCTGGCATCCCTATGATTCAGACCCTGGTATGTTTGGAGATGTCCCAGAGGCTCCTTGTTCTATCCTCATTTTTAAAAATTCTTTTTTCTTCTTGCTGTTCAGATTGAATGCTTTTTTCCTTATGTTTCAAATCATTGACTTGATTCCCAGCTTCATCCCCTCTACTGTTGGTTCCCTATAGATTTTCCTTTATTTTGCTAATGTAGCCTTTATTTCTGCCTGGGTGTTTTTTATGCTGTTGCAATACCCAGTGATTTCTTTGAGTATCCTCATAACAAATGTTTTGAAGTATATATCTGATAGGTTCCTTATCTCCATTTCATTTGGTTCTTGTCCAGGAGTTTTGTTCTGTTCTTTTATTTAGGCCATATTTCTTTGTCTTCTCAATTTGGCAGCCTCTCTGTATTTGGTCCTGTGTATTAGGTAGAGCTGCTTTGATTCCCTGTCTTAGTAGCATGGCCTATTATAGAAAAGGCACCTGTAAATTGTGTGAGGTGGAGCCTTAGGTAATTGCCAGGGTAGGGCAACCTGTTTCACCACTCTGTTGTTCTTTGTTGGGAAGGGCTCAGAGAGGGGACAATGCTGCTCCTTGGCCTCTGGAGATTGCCCAAGAAGAAGCTGTCTCCCAGCACTTGCTCTATTGCCAGTCACTTTACTTTCTCCCGTTCTCCCCATATGCCACTTGTGCCCTTCCAGCTGTTACTCTGGTGCTGAATCCCAGAGGGGGTGGGTCTGTATGAATCTTAAGTCTGTTGTGGGCCCTTTAAGAGGAGTTTCTTGAGAATCTCACAGCTTCTTTCATAGCCCCAGTCTCCACTGCTTTTTATAGCCAGAAGTTATGGGAATTTATCTTCCTGGTGCCGGAACCCTGAGCTGGGTGTTCTGGTCTGGGGCTGGGATGGCTCGCTCCTGAGGTATCCCTCCCAATTTTTATCTACCACATGTGAATATGGGACCACCCATTCTGCTGCCTCTCCATGCCACTCTGTGTCTCCACTTCTCCTACCCATCTGGATGGATGTAGCTTCTTATATTCTTGGTTGTTGGACTTCCCTACAGTTGATTTTCTGATGAATCTGGGTGATATTTGTTTTGTGATCTGGCTATAATCTTTGCTGTAGTTGTGCATGGAGGTGAAGCATGTTTATCTATGTCTCCATCTTGACTGGTTGTTTATTCTTGTATGACTATCGAGCTCATATACTATTATTGTATTTCAACACATTTTACTGGCTGGTAGAGAAAGGCTCTCTCTATTATACTTTGCCAAACTGTTCTTTCCTAGTCTCAACTATTGGTTGTTCCAAATCATCTTTAGAGTTATTTTGTTATATTTCAAAACATATTGAGATTTTTCTTACCATTGCATCAATCTATAAATTAATTTGAGAAAGACATCTTAAGATTCTATCTTTACATGTAAAAAATTAGTAACTAACTAGCTACATTATGAAAATAAGTTTCCTACTCACAGAGATCATAGAAAACAGATGATGAGTAAAATAGTCTCTTGCACAGGTCTCTGTTCTCTTGGGAAAGACAATCTGATATGAGCTTTGGTGGTAAAAGCTCATGTGATTTCAACCCCCACAATCCCAGAGTCATAGTGTACCATCTAATGACACTACATATATTCCTCTATCAGAAGTATTTTAGCAGCACTCCCTGTAAATTTGTATCTTCCAAAATAAACTCTGAAAGCAATGGAGAAATGCTTTGGTGAAGGGCAAGGGCAGGACTTTCATAGTGCTAAAGATGTCCCTCACTTGCATGTCTCCTGCTTAGATGCTTTGGGATGCTTTGTCTCATTTCCCAGGCAGAGATGACAGCCCCGACCTTGGTGAAACTCCTACACCTGGTATATACCTATTTATCACTTAGCACATGGTAACTCAATTATTGGATTATTGGTCAGCCATCCCCAACCTGACCTATAACTCCTTAGAAAGAGCTGAGTTTAATTCATCTTGATATCCCTAGGACCTGGTACAGGGCAAATAGTAGGTGCTTAGGGTGTTTCTGAAGGAATAAATTGATGACAGAACAACCTGAAGAGATGCAGGGGAAGTTGAAAGATCTCTTTTGGAAGCTTATAGGGAGACAGCAACTCATTCTGGGTACAGACTGGGGCTTAAGGAGCTCACCCAATACATTACAGAGTGGTTGTATACTCTCACAGAACAATTTTTTTCTTCTCACATAATTTTCAAATTACACCGTTTCAAATTACCCTGCTCTACTCTAGAGAAATATAGAAGTTTTTTGAGAGTCCAAAACTGATTTGTTCTCTTTGACTTCGCTCTGAATGTTTACTCAAGGTCTCTGTGCAAAACAGATCCATATAGATATCTTATTCTTTATGAACAAAAGATAAGCTTTCTGATTTGCTATCAGTAGGAAATAGTATCTGAGGCTTTATTTTCCCTTCAGATTGGAAAATCACTCATGTGTCTATCCATCTCCACTATGAAAACACATTTAGGGTGGTTGGATGAAGTTATCTATGGAGAATAATTTGTCTTGGTTTACAACTAATTAGATAAAATATATAATTTTGGTACTGGCCTAATCTTCACCATCTTTTAACAAACTGAGTGGAATTAAAGACAATAAAACTTAATGAAGAATTAATTTCAAAGCTATGAAATTATATTAAATAATTGTTGATAAATAAAAACTTACAAAGAGCATAAACAATTATTCACAGAGGTACATTATACATAACAATTTTGACTATAAAATGTACATGAATTTGAAGGCTACAGATTTCAGTATTATCAATGAGACTCTAAATTAATTATACATACACTAGGTTAACACTGTCTCAGTTTCTGTTGAATTAATGATAAAAATGAATAGCCTGGATTTCTTACCTCTTCCAGGACTTCCTCTAAGATTTCAGCATATTTTTCATATGGGTGTTCAAAGTTCATACTGTCTGTCATTTTCATAGTCTCCTTTACCATAGAAACAACTTCTGGATGATCTGCAGTGACCTCATTTATCAAGTCTTCTGTTGAGTTTAAAGTAAAGTGAGTTAATAAACTAATGCTATTAGTAATTTTAGTGGACAACTCAATTTGCAGTAGACCATAATTGTTAATACCTGACTCAACAAAGCACTATCTGTGTGTTACTGTAGCACATGCTAGGAAAAAGGGGAAATAGACTCGGAAGAAAATGTCAGGTCAGAAATCACAAAATAACAGAGCAGTGGCTTAAAGCCAGTGCATCAGAATGAAAGTGAATGAGGCAAGTCCTATTAGGCAGCAGTCAAAACTCAGAAAGCCAGAGAGAAGACGTAGGCTCCAAACGATTCCAGGGGTCAAGGCTAAAACACAAGCATCCAGAGAATGAGTCAGAAAACGAGATGAACACTTCTAATTACAAGTATGAGACTACACAGGACAGGGAGAAGACAGGAGATAGGCAAGTTGGAGGAAAAGAAGAAAGGGCGACATAGGCTGGTTTCTTATGTTACAGTAGATTCTTGCCCTCAGCGCATCCTGAGTGTCTCCTTACACTGTTGAGTTGGCTCACAGATGCATCACATTGTAAATGAGACAGGAGATTGGCAGTTCCACCTGACTTCTCTCCCTCTGTCTTTCCAGTTGTGCTTGCTGACCTGCTGCCCCTAGGCTCCGTCCATCCAAGTCTCCCGCCAGAGCCCAACTGATCCTAGCCCAGAAAAATCCCAAAGGGCCTTCCATGAGCAGCCTTCTGCTACCCTTTCTGCTGTGAAGTTAAAAAGTCTGTTTTCAGCAGTGGGGAGAGCCCACAGTTCCTGGAGAGCCACAGAGCAAGAGGCAACAACCCCTGGTCTTGGAAAGTGGGGCATGATGAGGCAGAAACAGCCAGGCAAAGATACTAAATGTGCTAGAAGCTGCTAGTTTTCCACCCAGTATCCATTCTCTTCTTTAGTAACTTCCCTGATTTGGTTGGGGTCAGCAAAGTGCCCAGCTCAAAATACTACATCTTTCAATTTCCATTATAGCTTGGATGGCCCATAGATAAGATGCAAGCAGATTAAAAAAAATTTGGGGGGGCGAGTCTTTCTGTCATCTTTTTAAAGAGAAATAAGTCATCTGGGAGGAGTGCAGTTTTGTCGTTGACCTTTTCTCTCCTCCTGTTAGGCATACTGATATGATGGCTGAAGCACCTGCAGCCATATTGTGAATTGTCACAGTAGCCACATGCCTAGGATGGCAGCACAGAAAGATAGATATCCTGTCTTCCCAATATTCTTTTTTACCAAAACAATATGCCGCATTATTTTTTTCTGTGTTCCCATGTGTCCAACTATTTATAATAGAGTAGCCTTTAAGATGAGGTTGGATATTAATAATGCTTTTTTTAAAAAATCCAATATTTCTCCTTAAAATTCTGAAGGAGCTGTTTGTGATTTTTAGATCCACAATCTAAGAAAACCAAATTACCCAAATATTAATTTACCTTTTTTGAATCCAACTTTAGATCTTGACTGCTTTGAGAACTTTTTTCCCAACTGAGTAGTTTTAATTTTAACTTTTTAATTGAATTTATTGGGGTGAATGACACTGGTTAATAAAATTATATAGCTTTCAAGTATACAATTCTACAATACATCATCTGTATATTGTTTTGTGTGCTCACCACCCCAAGTCAAGTCTTCTTCTATCCCCATTTATTCCCCTTTTACCCTCTTTTGCCCCCTCTCACTTCCCCTTCCCTCTGGCAATCACCATACTATGGTCTGTGTCCATGAGTCTTTCTTTTTTTTTCTTTGCTTAATCTCTTCACCCTTTTCACCCAACTCCCAATCCCTCCTCTCTGAGAGCTGTCAGTCTGTCCTCCATATCCATGAGTCTGTCTCTAAGTTTATTTTGTTCATTAGATTCCACATATAAAGGAAATCATATGGTACTTGTCTTTCTCTGACTGGCTTATTTCACTTAGCATAATACTTTACAGGTCCATCCATGCCATTGCTCAAAGTAAGTATTCCATTGTGTAAATGTACCACACATTTTTATCTACTCATCTACTGATGGACACTTGGGCTGCTTCCAAATCTTGGCTATGACAAATATTGCTGCAATGAACAAAGGGATGCATATATTCTTTTGAATTAATGTTTTGGGTTTCTTTGGCTATATTTCCCTTTTAAATATAGACATTGCACTGGTTTTCCTTTTATCTGGAATGAAATATTGTTAACACCTACAAAACAGTGTTAAATTGTAGATAATTCTCCCCACAAGATTGTGGTATGGGTCCAGGGACCTAGGATTCATGTTCCTAATTATTTAAAGTTGAAATAATAGCCATAGTAATAAAATAAACATATCTATCAGTAATAGAAAATAAAGATAATGACTTAATTAACCTATAAGAAAACCATGAGTAATTTCAGTTTCATATAATGCCATTAGATCTAAATCGAGAGAAATATACATCAAATTTTCCCTTCCCAAGGTGAAGGCCATATTTATCTCAGACACATGGGGAAGGGAAGGTGAATTTTTACCAGGGAGCACTGCCAATGTTGACATTCCTCCAGCAGTGGGTAGAGGCCCTGATGTCTGCTTCTACTTGGTACTGCCTCTCCCAAGGATGGTACAGACATTGTGGGGAGGGGCTCTTTTAGTGTACTGGCTGGCAACTCCCAGAAGTCACTTGTCCAAAATTTTAATATGTGTGTGTGTGTGTTAGGAGAGGTGCTGTGTGTATGTTGGGGGAGGAAGAATACCATGCATAAGTTTCTGACAGTGGCCAGTTCAATTCCTACTAGACTTGAAATACATAGCACACCTGTCTGATTCAGGTGTAAGAACCAAGCAAAAAACATCAGCTCTACATTACATGATAAAAATAAATTATAGATGCACTTAAAAACTAAATACAAAAGGTTGGATAAATTGTTTTAAAAAATTAAAAAAACAATATTAGCATACATGAAATCTCTGGTTGAGAAGATGACTTTTTTAAGCCTAAAAGTAAGTGGAAGAAATCAACAAAAAGAAAGTAATGATTTGACTACCAAAATGTAAAAAAATTCCTCTACTTCAATCATAGCAAAGTGATTGAAAAGACAAACCATCCAGTCTGGAAAAAGACTATTAAAAATAGTAATTAATATAGAAAGTTTACACAGAAATCATACAACAGATACTACTTAGAAAAATGGGCAAAAGAAAAATACGGTTACCTCAGAAAAAAGAAATATATATGGTTAATAAATACTAAACTTCAGAAACAGTTAAAAAGTAAAATAATATGGCATAAAAAGAGAAAATACTGAGGAAGCAATGACATGTACTCTGCGCATTAATGAGGGGAAGAGAATTTGGAACAACTTTTATACAACACAACTTGACTCTGTCTACAGCTTCATACTCATTAAACCAGTGACTGCATCTACGTCAACTTGCAGGCAAAACTTTGTTTAAAATTCACTGAAGCATTATTTTTAGTAGCAAAACAATCTGAAAAATTACAAGGTTCCAATATAAAGAATTAGTTAAATCTATTATCTATAAATAGGAAAATTATGAAGTAAATTGAAAATGAGGGTAAAAGTATCTCCTAAAGAAATAATGTAATTAAATGTTATGTTATAAGTAAAAAATGGGAAAAACAGTTTACATTGTATATTTTCAATTATGTTAAAATATGATTGGAAAAATTTTATAAGGATAAAGAGCACTAAATGATAATAGTTCACAGCTAAAACTCTAGGTTTATGATGGCTAAATCTGATAAAAGAAGTAGAGAAATTTTAAGATATAATTTATTATTATATGATAATAATTTAGATACACTTAGAAACATTTAAAAATTTTTAGGAGGACCTAATCATATTAGACTCCTCAGTTTCTACACTTTTCTTCTTTATTCTAGTAAATCCAATTTTGTTCTGTAGCTTAAATCTGTAAGAGAGACGCTGACTCTTTTCTCTTGAACTTTCCCATTTTGGAGGTATTTTAAGTTTCAATATAAACATGACAAAAATATAAATGAAAATAAGACCCATAAGCATGGCATTAACAGTTCATTTTGTTACCATCTGTATCAGTTTTAGCAGCGTTATCACTATCTGATTTCATTTTGGCTTCTTGATTGTCTTCTAATGAGCTTTCTCTTTGGGATTCATGAGCAGACCCTGTAGTGAAAGAATAATATGCATTATCAGCTCATGTGTTTTTATATTTTAAAAACTAGTCAATAATAATAGAAGCAATATATTTCTTTACCATCGTCATCAAGTAAAGAGAGCTCCCCTTCTAAGCTTTTATCAGAAGAGAACTTCTTGTATTCCTTCGCTTTTAATTCACTTTCAAGTTCTCTTAAAGCTGAAAGACAGTAATTGGCTGTATTAGCAGAAGGTAGTTGAGGGTAAGGAGTCAGGTATGATGATTCATTCCTCTGCTTTAAAGCCAGACAGACGTGGGTGCAAGTTCTGACTCAGTCAGCATGGCTTTGTAAATCATTTCATCTCCTGTCTCAGTTTCTGCTTCACAAAATGAGGATCGTCAAGCTGAAAGCACCACTGCAAGGACAAAATACAGTGATGGATTGCTGTGACTTAGAAAATGCTTGATTCGTAATAATCCTGCAATTGTTGGCTGCTATCCTCTGTATTATTCTCTTATTTTCTGTGTTTGGAACCTCAATATTCTCTGCTAAAGACTTTTTCTTAAAGAACATATTGGAGTAAAATTCACTAGCAAGAGTATTCTAATTTTTTAAATTTTAAGAAAGGCTAACTCTATTATCAGATTTAGAATAATTAGTGAATTTAAAAAGAGGGTTTTAAGTTTGTAGCATATGAGAGATGGTATCTATTTCTATATTCTGATGGGAAAAGGCAATTTGTGGAATGCTCTAAAGTCCATGATTTTATGGCATAATGTAGTGTGAAAGGAATCTTTACAGACTCCAAAAAACATTACAGATCACTGATCTTCCTCCAGGACCCTGGCTAGCTCCCTCTTTTGATCTAGAAAATACAACAGAAAAATTACCTCATCCAATAGTAACAAAATGACGAAATACCTAGGAATAAAATTATTAAGAATACTATAGATAACACATGAGGAAAGCTATAAAATATTAAGGAAGGGCTCAAATGTTAGACCAAAAAAGTGGAGATTTCCTCTGTTTCCATTAAAAGATTAAATAGTAGAGGTGCTAACTCTCACCATTGATTGTTTAATGTTAACACAGTTCTCCCACTGGGATTTGTTGTAGAACTTGACAAAATTCTACATGTATTCCAAAGCCAAGTATAGCTCCTGGTGCACATTAAGCACCCATTTTATGGAATAAGTGAAAGAATACACGGGAATAATTTCAAAACAAAATGTTTTGAGGAGAAACTTACATTACTAAATTAAAATGCATCACCAAGTTTTAATAACTACATTCTGTATTAAAGACTGTAATAAAGATGAATAGAATAAAAAAATCAGAAATTTACACACACAAACTTAATATTAAGATCAAGATGGCATTTCAAATCTGTAGTAAAAATATGTATAATTTAGTAAATGTTATTTATAAAATTGGCCCACCATTGCGAAATTACAAACTTAAATCTCCATCTAACATATAACTTATTATAATAATTATATATTAATTATAAAGAAGCATTCTTTTAAAACAAAAGAATGCAAGTCTGCATTTACCATAGAGTCACAATTAATTATTACAAATATAAATAGAAAAAAGAAAGGGATGAAGAATGCATCAAATTGTTAATGGGTATCTCTGGAGTATAACTGCTCTTTCCAGTCTTCTGAGACCACTTGAGAGACATAGAGGATAGGATTGCAGACATCGATTTGAATCCCAGTCACTTGCTAGCTGTCAACTGTGGGCAGGTCCCTAACACCTCTGAGCCTTAGTTTCTGCATGTACTAAAAATGGAGACAAAAATATATACTTCATAGGCCCGAGGATTAAGCATGCAATGCATTTAGCATAGCCCCAATGTATAGTAAATGCCCAATAAATATTATATGATATTACTTTTGTGATGAGAAGAACTTTACTAGGAAAAGAATATTTAGAATTGCAGCAGTGATGGTGCTATTAGACTACAAGTACACTGCCATAGCTTCCAGAAATCCAAATAGCGGTATTTGAATCCAGTCTAAAATACTGAAGCTAATCTCAAATTTCGTTTCCAGATCTTCAAAAGTTAAAAATATCCCAAGTAGTGTATAGCAAATGCTGCATGGTGTGTATCCCACTAAAAGAAGATGCTCAGATATTAAGCTACTTCCACATGTTCTAATGTCACTGGTTGCAACAGTACCAACTATAGACACAAATTCTACTGAAGCCAATCAATAAGCTTCAAAAACATCCATGAAATGAGAACTCCCACTTTTCCTGGAGAAAAACAGAAATACCACCCCCCCAAGCCCTTGTGTCTATCCTTAAATATATAAGAAGTGAGTTACAGGAAGAGGCAGAATGGTCAGGAGAAAGAAGAGCTGGGACTTTGGAAACTAGGTTCAAGTCTCAGCTATGCTACCAGCTGGGTGAGTTTCAGGAAGTCATTTGCCTTCATGTGCCTCAGTTTTCTCATCTGTAAAGTTAGAGAATTATGTTAATTGATCTGAAATATTTTTTCAGTTTTCCTTTATGACTTTTTGAATTTAAAATTAATATTCCTCAAATACAAAGACTTAGTTTACAATCAGAGCTGACATGCAAGTCTAAACAGCAGCAGCAGCACCACCACTAAACTCCATGAGCCAGGTGGAGCAGTGGCATTGTCATGATTGGTGTAGAGAAAGGTAAAAATTCTGCTCAGTTTCTGGCCAGTGAGTAAACTCACAAAAGTAAGGCAATCTAAATTTGGAAGCTCTTTTTGATTCTTTTCCTTGGAAGTATAGATTGGAAATTTTTCCTCTGTTTATGAATCAGGTTGATATAATATTACTCACTTCTTCAAGCATTTATTAAGAGGCTACAAATGTGCACGGCACCAGGATATCAAGATGAACAAATTGAATCCTTGCCCACAGGTAACCAGGCTTAACTGTTAACTTAGCCTTTAAAAAATACATTTTAAAAAGACCAGTCACCTTTTCTTTTAGCTTCTAATTCTGTGTGAAGTCGTTCTTTCACAGTCTTAATAGCTGCTTCAGTGGCCTCAGCTATAGTATTTTTTTTTAATGTTTCAAGGCTTTTATCAAAACGTGGTTGAATATGTTTGACGTAGTCAACTACCTGCAAAGAATATTTGAAAAAACCAACATAAGCACAAGTTACTGTAAAATTTAATTGTTCATATTGTTCATCTACATCTATATCTGTATCTATTTATAAATATATCTTTACCTGTCTTAAAAATCATAATGCTACTTGAGGTATGTTATTTTCAGAATTTACTGATTTTTGAGTACTTGCTTTCATAAAAATTTGGTCATATTTTTTCATGTAAGATTATATATCTATCTATGTATGTATCATGTAATATGTTTTCAAGTTACATATATATTTTTGAAGTCAACTTTGTATATATAATTTACATAACACAAATGGTACCCATTTTAAGTATACAGTTTGATGAGTTTTTACAAATCTCTACATATAACAATAACCATAATCAATATATAGAACATTTATATCACCCCTCCAAGTGCCCTCAAGCATCTTCAGAGTCAGTTTGTAATTTTTTCCAAGGTTTTCTCCTTTATCATAATGTTTTTGAGATTCATCAGTATAATTATCTATCAATAATCTATTAGCTTTATTGCTGAGTATTATCATTATATGAATATACCAGGTTTTTATTTATCTCTTGATGGACATTTGGGTTGTTTCCACTTTTTAATTACTTAAGGTAGAAATGAACTTTTTAAAAATTATATTTGATTGATTATGCTATTACAGTCTTCCTGATTTTTCCCCATTTTCTACCTTCCATCCAGCACCCCCCCACTCACTCAGGCAATCCCCCCACCATTGTTCATGACAATGGGTCATGCATGTAAGTTCTTTGGCTACTCTGTTTCCTATACTGTACTTTACATCCCCATGGCTATTCTATAACTACCTATTTGTACTTCTTAATCCCCTCACCTCTTCACCCATTTCCCCAAACCCCTTCCCATCTGGCAACCATCAAAAATGCTTTCCATATCCATGATTCTGCCTCTATTCTTCTTGTTTGCTTAGTATATTTTTTAGATTAATTGTTGATAGATATGCATTTTTTGCCATTTTATTGTTCCTAGTTTTGATCTTCTTTTTCTTAAATAAGTCCCTAATATTTCGTAAAATAGTGGGTTGGTGATGATGAACTCCTTTAGTTTTTTCTTGTCTGGGATATCTTTATATGCCCTCCCATTCTAAATGACAGCTTCGCTGGATAGAGCAATTTTGGCTGTAGGTCCCTGCTTATCATGACTGAATATTTCTTGCCAATCCCTTCTAGCCTGCAAAGTTTAATTTGAGAAATCAGCTGACAGTCTTATGGGAAATCTCCTGGAGGTAACCAACTGCTTTTCACTTGTTGCTTTTAAGATTTTCTCTTCATCTGTAACCTTTGGCATTTTAATTATGATGTATCTTGGAGTGGGCTTCTGAATCCATCTTGTATGGGACTCTCTGTGCTTCCTGGACTTGCATGTCTATTTCCTTCACCAAATTAGGGAAGTTTCCTTTCATTATTTTTTCAAATAGATGTCCAATTTCTTGCTTTTTCTCTTCTCCTTCTTGTACTCCTATATGTGGATGTTGGACATCTTGAAGTTGTTCCAAAGGCTGCTGAGACTATCCTAATATTTTGGGATTCTTTTTTCTTCTTGTTGTTGAGTGGTTGGTTCTTTTCTTCCTTATGTTCCAAATCATAGATTTGACTCTCAGCTTTGTCTTTGATGTGGTTGTGTGAAGAGGCAAGCCATGTCTGGCAACACTGCCATCTTGACTGGAAGTCTAGTAATGACATTTTTGAAGTCTTCCTGTGAACACATGTTTTCATTTCCCTTGGATAAATATCCAGGAGTGGAATTACTGCATCATAAGTTAAGTGACTTATAACTAACTGACTAACATCTAACTAACTAACTAACATTTGACTTTAACCATTAACCTGTTTCCAGAATGGTTGAACTATTTTGCATTCCTATCAGCAATGTACGAAAAGTAACTATTTTACATCCTCATCAATGCTTGGTTTGTGAACCTTTTAAATTTTAACCATTTTAATGGGTCTGAAGAAGTACTTCAGTGTAGTTTAAATTTATATGCCCTGAATCATTAGTAATCTTGAGCTTCTTTTTTTGTGCTTCTTAATCACTCACCTTCTGTTTTTAAGCATGTATCAACTTTTGTCTATTGTAGAAATTGGATTAAAATTTCACATGTTTTCTGAATATAAGTCCTTTGTCAGATAGGAAATAAACTTCATATTGAATTGTTATAAGTAGATTTCTATATGCCTTTTAAGTTTAAATAATATTTCTATACCTGTAGATTCCATTTTACTTTTCCTTCAATAGTCTTACATTACTTTATTCCATGCTAACAAACATTTACACTATCATTTTTAATGGATGAACAGTATTGTATTAGCTGAATATATTACAATTTATTTAACTAAAATATCAATAATATATACTTAGGCATACATAGTTTTGATGTTATAAACTAGGCTATAACTGAATAGTTATGTGTATATCTTTAATAGTTTCTTTAGGAAAAATCTATATAATAGAATTGACAGCTCAAAGGATATGCATGGATTTTAGGCTTTTAAATGTATTTTCAATTGCCATCTCTAATGGTTATATTCTCCCAAGTAGTGTATGAGAACATACTTTCCCCCACCTTGTTAATAGTGATCTTTCAACTCTAACAGTTGACATGACACATCTCTGGCTTTTTAGCATCTCTCTGTTTAATGGCTATTTGTGCATATTATTTTGTGAATTGCCTATTGGCCAAATATTTTTTCTATTGGGGCTTCATCTGCATATTGATTTGTAAGAACTCTATATTTTAAAATTATAACTGTTTTGATACATATAGTGATGGAGAACAAGCTCCATCAATGAGGGGAGAGGTCATGGAATTGACAGGCCAGGGAGCTGGGAGGGTCACCTTTCTAGCTACTGAAACCACCAAGAACTATGACAGGAGTGAGTATGTTGTGGAGGACTCTCTCCACACTCCCAGTGAGTCAGGAGGGGTGAAACTCAGAAAACAGACCAGTAGAACCAAGAGAGGTTATGGGTGGCATCACCTGCATGACATAATAGTCAAATCAAGGGTCTTTTGGGAAGCAGGAAGGGGTAATGGTCTGGAAGCTACAATAGACAGCTAGGGGGATGGATATCTTCCCCACTCCAAGCCCTGAAGAACAATTACCCAACTGATGATGTAAAATTAAGAAAACTGAGTATAAATCCCATGAATTATAATCAAGTAAAAATAGGTAGAAAGCTAGCTAGATAGGTAGTTACCTTTCCTTTGTAATGTTCTGCAAGCAAATTGCTAAGTGTTGTTTTCCCTGAAGACTGAGGTCCAAATATGAAAACTTTAAACGGTGGTGCTGGCATAGGTGGAAGAAGATAGGGGCGTGGGTTCGACAAAAATGTTTTTAATGTTCCTTCTGATGACAGACAGTACATTTTACCTAGAAAACTTAAAATATGCCATAATCATAAACAACTGAAAAGAGATATGGGGAAGTTTTGAAATTAGGTTCTGAAAAATCTTACTTACCTCACAGAAAGGTCTGGCAATCCTGGAATAATGTGACCTTCTTTTAAAACCACAGGACATGTTCGTCCCCACCTGCTTCTCTTCCATCTATATCGTGGTGCAATAACTTTGTAAGATGCAAGAGTACGAAATAGTTCATCCTATTAAAAACAAAACCAGATTACATATGTGGGTGCCCTGGCTCGTGGCTTGGTTGACCACAGGTTCGATCCCTGGTCAGGTCACATATAAGAATCAATCAATGAATGTGTCATTCCTCTCTCTCCCCCCATCTTCCTCTTTCCCTAAAATCAATAAATAAATTAAAAAATAAATATGTAGGTATAAGTTTTGCTGAAATTATTTTATTTTTTATTTGATAGTGCTTTAACTATTTAAGAAATAATTTAGAGTAAATTTTGGCTTTTTCTTAATGGCAACCATTCTGCACTTGTCCAAAAGTTAATAGGCATATCATTTCCATTTCTGTTATAAGACCTTGTTTAAATTTTACTGAGTATTTTCTATTATAAGGTAGAATGAGCATAAGGTAGGCAGAGTGTTTTCTATTATCTGTTTCAGAGAACAGATACTGGAAATTTCTTATTGAAAAGGTTTGAAAATGTACCAAATTCTTACTCAATTTATCTAAGTTTTTAAATAGTAAGATATTATATGTAGTCTGCTTTTGCATTTACTTAGCTCTTTCATTCTTCTTAGAATGTCAAGCTTCCCCCAGCAGTTCTTTCTGTTGATGTTCCCCAGAGAAGTTAACAACCACTCCTCTACAGACTGCAGGTTGCTGAAAGATTCACTGTCTTTGTGCTACCTCAGCAGGGGACAGGAGAACCAGAGACAGATGACATGGTGGGCAACTGCCAGGATGACAGGGTCCAAATTGGCTCCCTCCCACCTCCAGATGTGGATCTCACATTAGCTGCTGGCTCTGAGTTGACTATGGAGAATATACAAGATGGGAGCTATGGTCTTGCCTGGACCACTGCAGCATCACAGAGCACAGAGGCATGCACAATGCAGAGATGCTGCATGGATGTCCCCAACTGAAAGCTGGGAGAGGTAGCTAAGGATAAAGGAAACTGTCAGTGCTTAGAGGATTTGCATGAGACTGAGAACTTTGTTGGTGGGGCTACCTGCCTTCACCATGGAGTACACAAGACCATGAGCTATGGACTGAAGCGTACCCAGTCAAGTGAGGAGGCAGCCACTCTCTCCTTATCATTCTTAATTCCTGTCCCAACTTGAGAAAAATGTTCTCATAGGAGACCACATTTTTCTCTCACCTTCAAGTCCCTGGAGCCACATGCCTACCGGTGCTGAGGGGTGATGAGATGAAATTTCAAATGAGTTGGATGTTACAGTTAAACAAGGCAGGTAACACATGCATTTGTGCTTGCCGCTTTCCTAAAACCTCATGAAAATGGCAGCAGAGGAATGAACTCATGAGAACACAGAACGGGAAAAGAGACCAGAGGAACTCATAGTTGACCCTCCATGTCTACACATTTTTATAGCTAGAGAGCAGATGGATGAGTGGTAGCTGACTTAGATCAGAGAGAGGTAAAGGCTCAATGTGGTGGCAGTGATGAGAGTGGGGGTGGGGTGGGGACAACAAGAATCAACAAGAGTGAAGTTGATTCACTCTGCAAAATCCTCCAGAGGCTCAGGACATGTTGATACCAGGGATGTCTGAAGGCAGGGAATGGAGAGCAGAAGAGAGGAGGATTGGTTGAAAATCTTTAAAAGGAGATTCTACTGGCCAGAGCCACTCTCCATTTCACTCAGTCAGCCAACAACCTTGTCCCTTCATCTTTCTTGTTGAAGACTGGAGGCTTACTGTCTGGAGAGACTAAAGTGGAGGGTCTTATAAGAGGAACCCCAGTCACAGACACAGTCAGAGGGAGGCTCAAGAAAGTCAGCAGTTAAGCCACTACCCTCAAGCTCTGTTCCCACTGGAGCTTCTAGCGGAAGAACCTCTGGGCCCTCCCTCCATCCAGCCACTACCTCACTAATACCTGGCACACAGAGGCTCTTCAGCTCTGCTGCCAGCTCTGCTGGGACTAGCTGACTGGCCCTGCACACATCAGCTAATTTGCTGGACTCAGTAGAAAATAAAAATGTAGAGCCCTTGTTTTAAAGTTCTAAGAATTTCAAGACTGTGACAGCACAGCATTAAACTAATTGTGGGGCCCTTCTAAGCATGGGATTCTATGGGACTGCACAGGTCTCTAGCTTGCCCCTTCAACACAGATGTTAGATATTCTGAATATTACCATTGGTTTTCTCTTTTTTCTTTTTTCTTTTAATGTATTTTATTGATTATGCTATTACATTTGTTTCATTTCCCTCCACCCTGCATCTCCTCTCTCACCCACATTCCCTGCCTTTAGTTCATGTCACTGTGTCATAAGTTCTTGAGCTTCTACATTTCCCACAGTATTCTTACCCTCTCACTGTCTGTTTTCTACCTACCATCTATGCTACTTATTCTCTGTATCTTTTCCCCCCCTCCTCCTCCCACTCCCCTGTTGCTAACCCTCCATGTGAACTCCATTTCTGTGGTTCTGTTCCTGTTCTAGTTGTTTGCTTAGTTTTTGTTTTTGTTTTAGGTGTGGTTGTTAATAATTGTGAGTTTGCTGTCATTTTACTATATGTGTTTTTTTTATCTTCTTTTTTCTTAGATAAGTCCCTTTAACATTTCATATAATAAGGGCTTGGTGATGATGAACTCCTTGAACTTGACCTTATCTGAGAAGCACTTTATCTGCCCTTCCATTCTAAATGAAAGCTTTGCTGGATAGAGCAGTCTGGGATATAGGTCCTTGTCTTTCATGACTTGGAATACTTCTTTCCAGCCCCTTCTTGCCTGCAAGGTCTCTTTTAAGAAATCAGCTGACAGTCTGATGGGAACTCCTTTGTAGGTTACTGTCTCCTTATCTCTTGCTGCTTTTCAGATTCTTTCCTTCTTTTTAATCTTGGGTGATGTAATTATGATGTGCCTTGGTGTGTTCCTCCTTGGGTCCAACTTCTTTGGGACTCTCTGAGCTTCCTGGAAGTCTATTTCCTTTGCCAGATTGGGGAAGTTCTCCTTTATTATTTGTTCAAATAAGTTTTCCATTTGTTGCTCTTCCTCTTCCCCTTCTGGTATCCCTACAATTCGGATGTTGGAATGTTTAAAGATGTCCTGGGGGTTCCTAAGCCTCTCCTCATTTTTTTGAATGCTTTTTCTTCATTCTTTTTGGTTTGGTTGTTTCTTCCTTCTGGTCCACTCCACTGATTTGAGTCCCAGTTTTCTTCCCATCACTATTGGTTTCCTGTGCGTTTTCCTTCATTTCACTTAGTGTAGCCCTCATGTTTTGATGTTCACCAGGGCAGGGCAACCCAGTTGCTGGGGTGTGATGCTGTATGTGGAGGCGGGGTCTGAGAGGGAACAATGGCGCTTGCTCCTCTGTCCATCATATTTCAGTCCTTTCCATCACTTCCCCCAACCTAACTGGGTCTTCCTGGTGCTGGTTCCCATGTGGGTGGGCTTGTGCATGTCCTACGACCCCATGGGTCTCTCCAATGAACTCTCCTGTGAGGCTGGGAGTCTGTCCCTGCTGCTCAACCCCCACAGGTGTTTTCAATCAGTGCCCCGAGGCTCCATTTCCCAGGGCTGGGACCCTGGGCTGTGTGGTCTGTCTTGTTCCCCAGTTTTGCCTGGTTTATCTGCGGGCAAATGTGGGACCACCCGGTCAGCCAGCTGCCTTGCAGGCAGTGCCCCACTTCACAATCACTACCTCACTGGGTCTGCCCGTTGCCACCCCACACCCAGGGTCTGCCAGCTGTTGTCTGCATGCCCAGGGTTTGCCTGCTGCAGTCTTGCCTACCCAGGATGCCTTACGCACCTGGTGCCACTGCTTTTTGTGCCTCGACCCCCTCCACCTGGCTGCCTGACTCCGCCCTTCCTACTGGTCTGGATGAATGTGTCTCCTTGGTTGACACATTGGTATTTTAACTCCTTGGTTGTCCGACTTCCATACAGTTCAATTTTCTGTCAGTTCTGGTTATCCTGTTTCTAAATTGTTGTCCCTATCCTGGTTACGTGAGGAGGCACAGTGTGTCTACCTGTGCCTGCATCTTGGCTGGAATATTACCATTGGTTTTAGGTACCTTACAAACATCATCTCATATAATTCTTACAATAACGCAATGTGGTAGAGGATAGTGTCCCTTTTTTAAACAATTGAACAAAGGGTAAAATTAAGCCAAGTTACAGATCTGGTGCCTGTAGACCTGGCATTCAAATCCAGATTATTAGCCATTTAGGAATCTTCATTGGAAATTTAAGTCCTTTATATTCAACTCTTTTATACTGATTTTCTTCAGCTCACCTGCCTAGCTCACTAGCTCAAGGGCATTCATCCAAAGTTCTTCAAAATACTCAGGAACTTCAAGATTATTAACCAGGATAAGCCAGGATTCCTCAGTGCCCCAAACTTCAAAGTGGCGGTTCTTATACTTAGGTGGGGATAGAAATCTTCTCTGGACCTCGTAAAAACACATTTCCAGGTCCCACCACCAGACAGCCTGGCTCAACCGGTCTGGGATGTGGGCCTGGGGAATCTGTATTTGTAGTAAGCTTCCCGGGCGATTCTTTTGGAGGTGGTCTGGACTGCCAGGGAGGATCACTGCTTGAGGGGCATGAATAATGACTCCATTGTACAGTCATAACTTCTGCCCTTTATGAAAAGAGAGCAGGCATCCTGAGTCACAGATCTTAAGAACTATAACCTTAGGCAATAATTTCTAAGGACAAACTTTCTAGCTGGAAATTCCCCCAGGTTTCACGGGCACTTTAAATTTTCCTCCACAGATGACCTCAAAGAGGTCAGCATATGGCCTCAGTGCTCATCAGACCCATCGTTCCCCGTCTTCAGCATCAGTTTGTGTTACTGAAGTCCCAGCACATGTGCCAGCTGTGTCTGCCCATTAAGATCTTCCTTGAAATGTCCCCAAAATTTTACCACCCATTAAGATTAGGGGAATACACATTAGAGGATAACAAAAAGGTCTTTTTTCAAAGATTACTTTATTTGAATTACAATATCTATTTATAAATTCTGGTATTTGTTTTAAAATTTCTATTCATATCTGTGAAACTAAACTTTGCAGAACAGATTACATCTCCAATTAAAGACTTGTGGTCACTTTAGCACTTAGGAGTTATAATTTGATCACTATCACATCCATAACACATCAGTGCCAGGAACACAGTAGCTATACACTGAAAGAAGGAATGAATGCTCATGGAGTTCAGGGCTTTTATGTCTTTGTTTTCTTTAGTGCTAAAGAATTTTTAAAGTGAACTTGATTTCTTTTTTTCATTATTCCTGTCATTGGTTGTTCTGCCTTTATTGTTTTTCTATGTTTCAAAACTTTGGTTTTGTTGTGTTTGATGTCTATAAGGATATTGTGCTAATATTACAGTTTTTCCAAGAAATGAAACCAATTTTTATAAAAGGCATCCCCAAACTCCTTTTAAACCTTGAAAGAGTACAAATTAAGGTAAAAACACATAGTAAAAATGTTCACTTTCAGTTAAAATAACTTACATTGTCCATTGCATCGTTCATTTCTTCCTCTGCACTCTGAAGTTTAGTCAAAATAGCTGCTCTTCGTAGGTTCAGAAACTTAAGTCGACTCATAACCGTCTAAATTTAAAGAACAAATGTTTAAATACAATGGCATTTGAACATCTCAGATATTTTTATTTTTTTTTAGATTTTATTTATTTATTTTTTAGAGAGGAAAGGGAGAGAGAAAGAGAGAGAGAGAGAGAAACATCAATGTGGGGTTGCTGGGGGTCATGGCCTGCAACCCAGGCATGTACCCTGACTGGAAATCGAACCTGCGACACTTTGGTTTGCAGCCCGTGCTCAATCCACTGAGCTATGCCAGCCAGGGCTTACACCTCAGATATTTTGAAAAAGTGATGAGCTCATGAGTAGAATATTTCCTTGCTTCCTCCTAGTTCTGGTTGTTTACTGGCAACCTTTGGTGTTCCTTGGCTTATAGACACATCACTCCAGTCCCTGCCTTTGTTGTCACATAGCCATCTTCTCCCTGTGTGTCTGAGTCTCTTCTCTTGTAAGGATGCCAGTCATGTTGCAGTAGGGCCCACCATAATTCAGTATGACCTCATCCTAACTTGAGTCATCTGAAAAGGCCCTATTTCCAAATAAAGTCACATTCATAGGTATTGGGGGTTAAGACCTCAACATATCTTTTGGAAGTGAGCAACCGGATCAATACCAGTCTTCCCTCTCATCCCCAAATATTCACGTCCTTAGAGGTCTAACTCTACAGGACCTCTGCAAGGAGAGGGAAGACAGCCACAAGAACACAGAGGCAGATATTGGAGTTAGGTTGCCACAAACCAAGGGATGCCTGGGGCTACTATAAGCCAAAAGAGGCAAGGATGGGTCCTACCCTGGAGGTGTTGGAGGGAGCATGACCCCAACCAACACATTGATTTTGGACTTCTAGCCTGCAGAACCATGTGAGAATAAATTCCTGCTATTTTAAACCACCTAGTTTATAGCACTCTATGGGAGAATTTGAAAGAGTCTGAGTTGAGAGATGGTGAGATAGACAAAGTCCTGATGGTACATGGTAATCTGTGCTGGATTTTATTATTTATCCACAATTCACCCTTCCCTCCCTTTCCTTGTTAGTTCCCTAGTTCATGTTGAGTAAAGTATATTACCTATTGCATTGGTGTTGGGCTTCTCCACGTAACTTGTTTTAGTTAGTGGAATGTGGGCAGAAGTACCAGGGTACCAGTGCCAAATGGGGCTTGAACAGGCTTGGCAAGTTTCAAACAGGCCTGTTGGAGTTTCTACCTTGAGGAAAGTGTGTCTTAGGTCAAATTTTGGATACATTTCAAAGAAGAAGCCTGCTGTGTATGCTTGATGCATTGAATGTGGGATGTGAGAAAAAGAAAAGAACAGCTTGGAATTTTCAGCCCGTATCCTCCAGGCAAGGGAGAGGGGTTAGGAACACAGTTAATCACTCATCACACCTTTGTAAGGACACCTCCATAAAATCCCAATAGTATGGGGTTTGGAGAGCTTCCAGGTTGGCGAACACGTCTACACCTGGATGGTGACACACCCCCAACTCCACAGGGACAGGAGCTCCTGAGTTTGGGGTGCTCTCAGACCTCACCCTATGTATCTCTTCATCTGGCTGTCCATCTGTATCCTTCATTATGTCCTTTCATAAACAGGTCTTTCTGGTGCCCAGCCCCCATCCAGGACCCTCCAGGAGCCTACTCAGAGTCACCTCAATAGAACAAAAGATGCTCTTAGTGCTCTTATCACTTAGGAAATCACATGGGTTTGGGGAGCTCTGTGCCAGGAACCAGAGGCAGAGACAAATATTTATCTTCTGTTGTCACACAGATGTCTGCTACTTACTTCAGATGTAAACGTGCAAGATAAAACTCATGATCTGCCCTCACCACCACCCCACCTCAAATACACTTCTCCCAGTTTCCCCCTCTCAGTAATGTCAGATCCACCCTCCCAGCTGCTGATCCTTAAGAGTTTCAATTTTCAAATAATTTCAGATTATTTCACCAGACTAGGTTCTGCCTTTCTGCTACACCATTTTACAACCCTACCAGCAATGTATGAGGTTTCCAATTTTTCCACATCCTTGCCACACTTGTTAGTTGCTGTTTTTGTTTTTGTTTAATTTCAGGCATCTTAGTAGGTGTGAAACGGTATTTCATTATGGCTTTGTTTTGCATTTCTCTAGTGACTCATGTTAAGCATCTTATCATCTTATTTATTTGCTTTTATTTTTCTTTGAGGCACTTTTGATCATACAGAGATTTTAGATTCAAGTGCAGTTTTCATTTAAATGTAAACAAATGAATAATACAACATCACATTTTCAAGTGTCAAAATGAATTTTTCCAACAATAAATGGTTAAAATTGGAATGTATTTCTGATGGTTGTTAAAATGAGTACAATCCAGTCAACAACTTTTTCATTTTCCAAACTGTGGAATATATTTACTGAAAATTGCACTAACCGTGAAGAGCTCCTCTGGGGGCCTGTTTCCATCTAGCTCAATGAAATGCAGGGAATTGTGTTCAGCCATTACTTCCTGCAAGTAATAGGAAAGAAGCACTGTAATCTAGAATCACTGGGAAGACTGAATACAAGATAAGAATTTTAATATACTATGAAGAAATCTTGAAAGCTAAAATGCTTTAGACATGATATATTGCATGTTATTTTCGGTGTTCAAGCTATTTGAAATGACCTCACTGATTTCCACTCCATCCAGCAGCAGGTATTTGCTTTACCGTATTCTTCCTGGCATGAGGAAGTTTTATTCCTTGCTCATCTTTTAAAATTTGATCATGGAAATTTTACTTTATTGATACTTTATTATCTTGATTAGCATTTCTTCATAATCAGTGAAGCTGAACATTTTTTGTAGAGGCTTGTTACTCTTTTGCCTTTCATTTTTGTGACCTGTCTGCTCATATTTGTGGTCTGTTTATCTCAGAAGGTTGAGAACTTACAGGTTAAAAAAAAACATTCCTATGACTTTTTCATAATTGATGTGGATATATTTCCAGTTTATCTTTTAATTTGAATGAGGTTTTAAAAAAATTTGTTTCCAGAAGTCTTACCTGTAATGCAACTAAAGCCATCATTTTTTTTCCTTGTGATCTCGTCACTTGTTCAGCTAAGCATCTTCTAAGCATTTACCACTCACCATGCTTTGGGCACCGCACTGAGCATTCGCGATGCGTGTATGGAAGACCATGCACTTACCTTGAAGAGACTATCTCTGCTTATTTTCCCCTGTGAATACAGTTCTCTAATTTTCTGACTCTGCTTTTGATTATGCTTTATTTCATGCCCAGTGCCAGCCACTTTAGGACTATGCCGGATATTTTTATTTAAGGGAGACAGAATGTTGTACATAGACATGTAAATTACTGTTAAGAATCTATGTTTAAAGGCCAGGGATTGAAGAGGAGGAAGGGAGGAATAAAAGCCATACATAAGAAAACAAATTTGGTTCTCTCATGGACACAGACAACAGTGTGGTGACTGCCAAGGGCAGGGTGGTGGAGGAGGTGGAGGAGGGTATGGGGGGATAAATGGTGATGGACAGGGGCAGTGAACACACAACATGGCGCACAGATGATGTGTTGTGGAATTGTGCACCTGAAACCTGTATAATTTTGTTAACCAGTGTCACCCCGATAAATTCAATAAAAAGGGAAAAAATTGGTTCTCATTTTGGGGGATAGATAATGAGAATTAAAATGGTTTACTTATTTGTCTTAAAAATATATAAACATAATAAAACAACAAAGAATAAAAAATTTTAGTTTCTGTCAAATAGGAAGAGGGTTTGGGGAGCTTGTTCTGTTGCCTAGCTGTATGTCTGGACAAATACCCAGGTTCAATAAATGTTTGGTGAATAAATTTCCAACACAAATTTGGCAGTCTTTCCTGGATTTTTGGCCATATAAAATATGTTTTTCACATACCTGCAACTGTAGTAATCATATTCTTCAAACACTGATCATTTTAACTATAAATTTATTATTATAAAATATATAATGGCCTTTTCATGTTTACATACAATTAACTTTGAATGGCATTGTCACAGAAACCAATCTGGAGATGATTCTCCTTTAGATTGCAATTTAAATAAACTAATAATTCCTTTTAAAATAAAAGATGCACCTTAAGTGTACAACTGTTTTGATAAACTCATAAATTACACCTTGAAAATGATTTTACCAAACAGTCTCTTACATGGGTTTTCCAATCTCCAACCATAACAAATTCCTCTGGTGACTTTTGAAAACTGCAGTTCATTAAGCACTTTTCAACAACACTAATGCTTTGTAAAAGTAAAATAATATTGTTCTTTGAAACGGCCTTCAGGATGGAAACTTTATTCTAAAGGCATTCTACCAAATTCAAGAGAAGAGTCAGGTAGATGATATACAGAGGTGAATAAATGTAAACGCTGTTTAGTGATAGAACACAAATGTTAATATTCCCATTTTTCAGCAATATATCTTGTTCTTACTTCTAAAGCATGAAGAACTGCCTCCTTATAAAGTTTAACGAGGCTCTCAATATTTTCCGAATAATCTTCAGGCCTCTGAACTAAATGTTGAAGAATTTCAGCTACCATCTGCATTTCGGCAATAAATGTCTAAAAGGAAAAAGAAAAGATTTTAAATAACTTCATGGTCATGATCACTTAATTACAACCTACATCCCTTCCTCTTTACACCTATGCCGTTTTGGAGGGAGAAGCAAGCAGAAGGGAAAATCAGAGACTGAGGGTTTTTATTTAAGAGAGATTAAACACCCTAAAGGGCCTTTACAGATGAACAAAACTTGAGGTAAGTTTTATTGAGATAGGTTTTAACTCATTGTATGTGCTTGCTTCCTCTGTTGAATATTAATTGACTATAAAGGGTAAATTTATTTCTGGGCTCTCCATTCTGTTCCATTGATATACATATCTGTTTTTATGCCAGTACCATGCTGTGCTAGGGCTTTAGAGTATAGTTTCATGTTAGGTAGCATGATTCCTCCAACTTTGTTCTTCCTTCTAAGGATCACTGTTGCTATGCACAGTCTTTTGTGGTTCCATACAAATTTTTGAAATATTTGTTCAAGTCCTGTGAAATACATCATTGGACTCTTGACAGGAATTGTTTTGAATCTACAGATTGCTTTGGGTAGCATGGACATTTTAATGATGTAAATTCTTCCTAGCCATGAACATGGTATGTGCTTCCACTTATTTGTAGCTCCTTCAATTTCTTTCTTCAGTGTCTTATAATTTTCTGAGTACAAGTCTTTTACATCTTGGTTAGGCTTATTCCTAGGTATCTTATTCTTTTTGAAGCAATTGTGAATGGGATTGTTTTCTTAATTTCCCTTTCTGTTAGATCATTATTGGCATATAAAAATGCAACTGATTTCTGGATATTAATTTTGTATTTTGCCACTTTACTGAACTCACTTATTAGTTCTAGTAGTTTCTTGGTGGAATCTTTGGGGTTCTCTATGTACAGTATCATGTCACCTGTAAATAAAAACAGTTTTACTTCTTTCTTTCTGATTGGGATGCCTTTTATTTTTCTTCTTGTCTGACTGCTGTGGTTAGGACTTGCAGTACTAAAGAGGTGAAAGCAGACAACCCTGTCTTGTTTCCAGTCTTAAGGGCAACGCTTGTAGTTTTTGCCTGTTGAGTATGATGCTGGCATTGGGTTTGTCATATATGGCCTTTATTATGTTTATGTGTTTCCTCTATTCCCACTTTGCTGAGTTTTTATCATAAATGGGCGCTAGATTTTATCAAATGCTTTTTTTGCATCTATTGATATGATCATGTGGTTTTTATCCTTCATTTTGTTTATGTGGTGTATTGCATTGATTTGAAAATGTTGTACCAACCTTGCATTCCTGAAACAAATCCCACTTGATCATGGTGTATAATCTTTTTCATGCATTGCTCTATTCAGTTTGCTAATATTTTGTTGAGGATTTTAGCATCTATGTTCATTAGGGATATTGGTTTATAATTTTCTTTTTTTTTTGCATTTCCTTTTTTTTTGGCTTTGGTATTAGGATAATGTAAGTCTTGTAAAATGAGCTTGGGAGCCTTCCCTCTTCTTAAATTTTTAAAAATAGTTTGAGAAGGAGATGTGTTAGTTCTTCCCAGAATGTTTGGTAAAATTCACCTGTGAAGCTATTCGGTCCAGGGCTTGTTTGTTGGGGGTTTGATTACTGCTTCAATTTCACTAAGTGTAACCTGTTTGTTCAGATTCTCTTATTCTTCCTGATTTAGTTTTGGAAGATTGTATGTTTCTAGGAATTTATCCATTTCATGCAGGTTGTCCAGTTTTTCGGCATACGGTTGTACATAATTTAAATATTTCTAATTATTTTCCTACCTTTTCTTTCTATTTTCTTTCCCCTTCGTCTTCTTTCCCTTCCCATCTTTCCATAATTTAATCTAGCCCATCATCTGTTAACAGCTTTCTTAATATCAAATTTTCCATGGACTACAGGGTGTTTTACAACTTTCAGATTACTTGCCAACTACTTTATGATGCTGATTTTGGTTTCTCTGGAGAAACCAGACTACTTGGTAAAAATAGGCCACTTTTTGCTCATAGTGTGAGTTGGCTGGGCTGGAGCTGAGAGGGAAATATCCTCTGAAGAAGGGCATGCACTCTGTAGCTGTGTAGAGTAGCTTTCTGTAGTAATGGAGATGCTCTGTGGCTGTGCTGTCTGATTTGGAAGACAGCCACGTTTGGTCACTGAGCACTTCAAATGTAGCTAGTGCTACTGAGGAACTAAATTTCTACTTTTATATAATTTTAACTAATTTAAATTTAAATAGGCACATGGAGCTAGTGGCGACCGTATCAGACAGTGTAGGCCTAGCCTATCCCACTCTTCACTCTTTCCAATTATATCCCTGGACAAAATCACAAATTGACCTAACTATGGCCCGCATAACTGAGTTGTGACCTCTGTATCTCACCATTTTTTATTTAAGATGGTGTGTTCTATTCACACTAAAGTAGCATAGTTTAAAATTCCTATTTGCTATGAGGTTTTCCTTTTAAAAAAAAAAAGATCTGGAATAGATGCTATTATATAATGCCTTATTTGCATATGGAAGATTATTTTCAGATTTCCAATAGGCTTTCTTATATGAATAGGTTTTTATTCATATATAATTGACATAACATTATATAGTTTCAGCTTAACAATAATCCACAGCCTTCGGACCAACTAACATTATATAGTTTCAAATGCACAACATGATGACTCAATATTTATACACACTGCAAAATAATCACCATGCTAAGTCTAGCTAACATTCTTCACCACACATGTTATATTTTTTTGTCTTGTAACAACAACTTTCAAGATCTAGTCTTAAATGAAAGAAAAAATGTCAAAGATTCATTGAACCCATTAGTGAGAGAATCAGTAGTATGACAAAGCTGAAGTATATATAATCATAGAAATTAGACAGCTATTTTAGATGCTAAGCAGCTTAATATCCTATAGGGCAATAGAACTGTGACCTCTGGAGGTTATCTTTTCTACTGAGCAATTGATCTGTAATGTGTCCATCTATAAATTAATGGGGTCTAGGTCCTAACAAATAGTTTTACTTGTAATATTCTAATTATAAACTATGGAAAGTATAAAAATTATACAAAATTATAAATTTATAATAGAACTCACATGTATATTTCGTAGAGCAGGAACTGGCCAACTATAGCCTGCCCCACCCCAGTGGGCCAAATCCAGCCCCTCACCTGTTAACAGATTTCTTAATATTAAATTTTCCTCACTAACTTATGGGAGAAGATTCCTTTGATGCCCTATTGCGTTATGCTCACTAGTACTGACTTTAGGATTGTTGTAACATCTATATGTGAAATTGGGCTATAGATTTCTTTTTATGTGCTCTCTTTGTCTGAGTTTGGAATCAGGGTTATATTAACCTCATAAATTGTATTATGCCTGGGCTACCTTGCTCTTCATATTACACTTTGTCTTTTATTGCTCCAACTCCTCCCTGTAACTTGCATAATGCTTGATACACAGTATGTGACCAGTAACTCTCTGTTGCTATGGAATAAAGCAGATTACCCAACAGCATGTAGAGGAACTTCCATACTGACAAGAGGGTTACACTTGTGACCTTCAGATTATGATTTAATAGTTCTTGAAAATGTGAAATATCTTTATTTCCTCCAGACTAAATTAAGAAAAAATTTAGATATATCTGTATTATCTGTTATTTTCTATTATCTAATGTAATTGTCACAAAAATTTTTAAAAGTACAGTATGTGGTATTAGGATATTACCTCTTCTTCTTCTTGCTCTTCTTCCTCTTCCCCTTCCTCTTCGCTTTTTCCTTCTTTTTGGGCTTCTTTCTTTTTTTTCCTTTGATTCTCAATGAATTCTAGATCCCACTGATCTCGTGTGTATATGAACCCTGTGCTACTGTGCTGCCTTTGCCCAGAAACTCTTCGGCATAAGTCGTAGTCAGGGCACTAAGGAACATTAGCAATACTTTAAAACATGTTAAATATGCTTTTACTTCCTATTTATATATTATACAATACATAAACCAAAAAATCCCTTAAAACCCTGAGTGAATGTAATATTTTTTAAGTGTTATTTAGTGTCAGGTTTCATTACATGCCAAGAGAGGCACAAGACACAACTTTTATGCTATGGCAACACTTTTCTTTATCCAAAATTAATATGTGTGAGAAAACATCAGACATTTTGACATGAAAAGAGGGCGTTAGAAGAACGGCAGAAAGAGAGAAATACATTAGAAAATCAGTTTAGCCTGCAAAGGTACACAGGAGGATTCTGTCAGATTAGTTTCAGAAGGATAAGAAGTGGTACAGACATGAAATGGAAATATTACTTGACCATGATAAAGAGTGAGATCTTACCATTTGTGACAACGTGGATGAACCTAGAGGTTATTATACTAAGTGAAATAAGTCATAGAGTAAGACAAATACTGTATGATTTCACTTATATGTGGAATCTAAAGAACACAACAAAAAAGAAAAACAGAAACAGATTCATAAGTACAGAGGACTGATGGCTTCCAGGATTCAAGGGGCGCTGGGTAAAAAAGGTGAAGGAAGTAAGAAGCGCAAGTTGGCTGTTATAAAATAGTGATAGGGATGTAAGTACAGCATAAAGAAAATTGTTAATAATATTGTAATAATTATTTATGGTGCTAGGTAGGTACTATACTTACTGGAGAGATCGCTTCATAAATTATATATCTAACCATTATGCTGTAAACCTGAAACTAATATAAAATAATATTGAATGTCAACTGTAATTTAAAAAAATAAAAGGATGAGAATGGAGGAAAATGGGGGAATATCCACATATTTTCAACAAAAAATACTGTGTATTTACAATATTTACAGTTTTATAGGTGAAATATTTTATAAAATGTCAATCATGAATGGGACAGGAATGGTCATCTATTCTAGTCTACACTTTTAATTCTGTAAATGAGAAAACTGAGTCTGGATAGTAAAAAAAAAAAAAAAAAAGCAAAGCCAAAACCAAAGTCTGTGAGTAATTTTCTTCTTTCAAAGTGATTTCACGTGTGTAATCTCTGACTCAGTTCTCAAACTAATCATACAAGAGGAGGGACCCAACGTCACCATTAAGCCGCTCTGCTGGTCAGAGAAGAGCAGTGCTGGCAGCTGCGGACTCTGGTCTCTGATCACAATGTCCGGAGACAAGAATCCGACTTGGAGCCAGGCCTTCTGATCCACAGCCCATGCCCTGTGGCACACTGGTAATGACAACAAGGGTTTGGGTTTATAAATCCTGCTCTGAATAATTTTCAGGGCAAAAAACTCTGGATGATATTCTATGGTTGTGGTTCTCAAAACCACAGGGTGTAACTGTACATAGAGAATTGTAAATAGAAGTTTCTGTCCCCCCTTGTGATTTATTAGGTCTGGAGTGAGGCTTAGACATTATAACCAGCATCCTCAGTGATTCTGATGCCAACAGTCCAGGTACCATAACTTTGAGAAACAAAGAAATAAGAAACTTTAGAACCTTCCTTGCTCATTTTCTGATTTCTTCAGGCTACCTCTATGTGGAGATGGGAGGACTATTTATTGAGGCAAGACTTTTATTTAAGCTTCCAAATTTTTTACAAAATAAAAAAGATCCCAGCGCATTCAGATAATTTTTAAAATGCATATGCTCTTATTCAGCAACACAGAATATCCACATTGTGGGTCCTTGACTAAGACTATTGCCTGGAGTTGTTTCCTGTTTCCACTTGTAGGAAGTGATTAACAAGAGGGTGAGTCTCAAGGACTCAGAGCAGTGGTCCTCAAACTTCAGTGGTCATCAGGGTCACCTAAAGGACTTTTCAACACAGATAGCTGCACGCTACCCCCAGACTTTCTGACTCGTAGTTCTAAGGCGGGGCCAGAGAATTTGCATTTGTTTCTTTAAAAAAATTCTTCAATTATAGTTGACATTCAATATTATTTTATATTAGTTTCGGGTATACAGCAAGAATTTGCATTTCTCACAAACTTCTGAGCGCTGCTGACGCGACTGGTTCTGAACCTGGACGTGAGTACCACTGCTGCAGGAGACCACTGGCCCTTAACCACGTGTTTGTAGTACAAACATCATATCCCCTTCGGAATATGATGAAAGCTATAGGCTTTTGTTTCAGAAGGATGCACATAACACACAAAATTTTGCACATAATTTTAGGAGGTTCATGGATGCTGAAGGATTCATGGACCCTAGGCTAAGTAAGTTTGCCCTAGAAATTCCAGATTTTATCCCCAAACATGGCTAAACAATCAGAGAAGTGTGTGTTGTATCAAGTTCAGTCTCACATTAGACCCTCAATGACCCTCTGGCTACACTGCAGAAACTGCCATGGACACCCACTATCACAGGTAATATAAATGGGGTTCAGGATTTCATTCTCTACGTTAACAATCTCTTACATTAAGACCTATGTAAGATGTTTCTCTCATTTTTAATGTTTTGTGTTCCCTGAGGAATGGCTTATCTTCTCATGGGTAACATGAATTTATACAATTGGTCATAGTTCCCCTTCTACTTCTCTCATCAAACTTACAACCAAATTGATGCCCCAGATTTAGTAAGCATCTGGGGCCCTTGTGTGCTCTTGTTCCTAGCCTGTGTGCTCTTGTTCCACCAAGTCTTAAAGTTCCCATACAATCTACATGTTCCATTGCTTAGACTTCAAATGTTCACAGCTGTGACGGTGTCAATGTCACAGGGATTTTGATAGGCCTCTGACCATGACCTGTGGCCCAGGCAACATGATCAGCACTGAATGCCACCTGCCTGTTACAGCTGGGTCCCCATACCTGAGCTGAGACCCATCTAATTTATTTTGAGCTGACTGTCCTTTTGGGGAAACAGGATGTGAATATAAAAGCTTATCATTCATTTTTATATAAACAAGTAGTCCTCACTGAATTCTTCTCACAACCCCATGAGGCAGTTTTTAAATTATCTTTGTAAAGAGGAAATTGAGGCTCCTAAAAGTGATTACCAAATTCTAAGAGCTGAAAAACAAAAGAAGTGGGAAAAGGATTCTGCCTTGATTCTTAATCTGCTAGTGCTCTTTAACATTCATATGTCCAAACCACTGGTTCCTTCTTTCATTTTATTTAACTGGCAAACTTATCAGGGGTCAGCTCAGTGCCAAACAGTGTGCTGGTTGATATTCACGTGAGTAAGACATGATTCCTGCCTTTAAGTGAGGCACAGTCCAGAAGGAAAAGGTTCAATGTGAATATAATGAGATAACATAACAGAGTGAAGAGAGTAATATCAGTGGTCATCAGAGAAGTATTTACCTTTCCTGTAGTAAGTAACGTGCTCTGGGAGCGGGGAGGAGAGAGAGAATGCATTAGTTAATGAGTGTGCCAGTATACAGGAGATGGCCCTGAGGAAAGTTCCGAAGAGGCGATGCAGAACTTTCCTCTGCACTGACTTTCAGAGGATGGCTAGGATTACACCTGGTGAAGAGGCAAGGAGGTGTCTCTTTGGATGCTGTGGATGGAGCCGTGGGCGCAAAAGCACAGAGGTGCAAGAAAGTCTAACTCGTTCCCAATGATTGATGCATAAATTAGTACTAAATATTTAAAATTCTTGTAAACAATCCTTTCATTTCACTACCATGAAAAGAATGGATAACTATACTAAATAAAAAAACTATTCTTACCTTAATATTGATTATAATATCAGGTTTCAAATCTAAATTTCTAATTAAGTCAATTTGCTGCAAAGTAGTCATGGCATCCTGTGAAAGTGTTGGTAATTCAGTGATAATATAACCTATAGAGTAAAATATAGTGTTTAAAGTTTTATATTATCCAAATGTGAAAGCATGGATTTATTATTACTTATAAAATATTATCTGGTAGTTGATGAACACTAATGCAGATCTTAAAATTGTATATCAAAATTTTTAAATCAATAATTAAGGAAATATTACTATGAGTAATATTTTTCTGATAATAAAATCATTGGGCAAGGTGGAGACATCTTTTAAAATTCCAAATCAATTTACTTTAGGCATAGGAGGTGCCTAAGGAAGTAAATTCCATGTTAATAACTCTTTTAACTCATTAGTAAAGCTCATATGATGAATGGTAAAGGTATTTTATAGGGGTTGCATGATATATTATTTTTCCTTCTTAAATTAACATTTCATAATACAACAGAAATATATGTATAGTGTTTATGTAAGTTAGAGGGAGTAATAAAATACCCTGGTATCCCTCATACAGTCTCAGAAAGTATCAGTGGTTTTGGCTTAGCATATTCACTGGCTTGCATCCTTACCTGGGAATCTCAATCATCCCATTGAAATTCACCCAGTTTACCACCATCACTTTAAGTTCCTTAATATATTTCTTTAATTATGTCATTGTATTGCTTGAAAAACTTTTTCTTATTAATAGAATAAAGTCTCAACTCCTTCAGTGCTAAATGAAAGCCTCCAACAGATATTTCTGCTCTTTTAATAGAACCATTTTTTTCTTTGAAGAACAACTGACAACAAATTACAGTTACATAGCTTCAGATATTTGGCAGACACTTGATAAAAAGTGAATAGAGTGAGCCTCTCACTTCAAGGACAAAAACTGACAGCATTTGTTGTCAATTATAAACTTTAAGTGAAAATTAGTATTTTGAAAAACTTGTATCTTCTGCCCTAAGCTTAACAGCTTCCCAATTCTTAAAACTTGTCTTGATGAAATTGGTGGTGATATTAACAAATATGACTTTTTTGATATTGTACAATGACATGTGTCAACACTTGGAAGGTCTGCATAACTCAGTGAAGAATATTTTCCAAACAACCAATGCCTGGTGCCACCAAATCATGCCTGGGTAAGAGACCCATTCCAAGTACAAGACAGATCAATGGATTTTAATGGAATACAGTTTGAAAAGTTCACTGATATGGTTTCAGATTCCACAATGCAACTAACCTTTAATAAACTTTCCCTTGTCAAGCTCTGGTGTAAGATCAAGAATATCCACAGTTATTCTAAAGGGCCTCCCTTTTCCAATTACCCATCTATGCGAAGCTGGGTTTTCTTCAGGTACTTTAACAATATAGTGCAACACATTAAGCAGGAGCAGATGTGACAAGCCAGCTAGGTCTTCTCTTAAGCCACATATTAAAGAGATTTGCAAGAAATATAAAACAATACCACTCTTCTCACTAATTTTTTTGCCTTGAAGAATATAATTATTTTATAAAATATGCTAATTGTGTTAACATGTTATTGTTTTTAAACAAATACTATATACATTTCTTAGTTTATTTTCTAATATGATAACTACTGATAGATATAACCCATGTAAGCAAAAGCTCTTTTGGGGCCTCAATAATTCTTATAAGTGTAAAGGAGCCTTGAGACCAAAAAGCTTAAACTGCTATCTGATGCTATGCCTAGCATAGTATAATAGAAAAACCACTAAGCATCTGTTGGTAGATGACTAAATGTGTCTATAAACCAACCTTAAAATGCGCACTTAAGAACATGCTGATCGCAATCTTTTACTTAAAAGAATCAGATAAACAACTCCCAGGGTAATCCAAAACCTCCTTAAATGTGTCAATTTCTCCTAAGCTTTCTCAAACACTCTACTTCCTGCCAGAACATGGTGGGCACTGTCCAAAGAAGCAATTCTAAGTAGTTTAACTTTAAAAGGCAAAAAGGGAGACCTGTTATGTTGGGTTTGGATGTCTGAGTTGTATCATGATTCTCTCTTATTTGGCTGTAATCTTTAGTTTCCAACTTGGCTTTCTTGTTTGCTCTTGCTGTTGTCTTTGAACCACTCGGAAATCATGGTTGTATCCTAAGGTAGTCGCCCTCCTATTTGAAGCTCTTTAAATGAGCCCAAGGCATGCCTGCAAAAATACAGCCACTGCACGCATTGATCCTGTCTCAGGAACTGGACCAGACCTTTCTCTGCTTGCCTCCTCTTTGTGCTCTTGCTTTTTTGCTTTCTCAGCATTCCCCTAGTTTGGTGTGGCTCTTGTTTTTGATCTAGCCTTCACTTGCTTAACAACCTTTTTTTTGAACTTGTTTTCAAGACTCTGAAATGATGGTTGGCATTAACACCCAGGTCTGACACACCACAATGGTGAGTACTTTGGTTAAGGAGACAGTTATGTCTAGCCTTAGTCTGAATTCAACCCTTGCCCAGATCACCTCTCCTGACTGGACAATTCCAAAGCCTCTGTTCAGCACCTGTTTGAGGGCAGGGAAACTTCTTAGGCCCAGAATTAGAGGGTAGACTGGATGAACAGGCTAGAGCCTGCTAGTACCTGGAGCCAGAGGGTAAGCTGGGGCTATTCTAATTTTCATTCCTGCCTGATAAGTGTGGATTAATACAGAGAAACCTACACCATTGACAGGACTTACTGTACTAATCACACTCAGGGTGAAGAGGAGAGCAGTCAGAAGAAGCTGTCAGCACTGTGAGGACTGCAGCAGATTGTTGATGCTTTTGCTGAAAATACTAAAAGAAGACTAGATCATATAAACTTAATTTGTTTTTACAAATGTAGAGTATGAAAAAAAAAACAAGTAAAAACAAGCAAATAAAACTATCTGAGCTACCCAATTGAATGCAGACTCTGGGACCTGTACTAGGAGCAAAAGAAACAGCAACTCCAGAAACTATCTGTGCCTCAGATGAAGCATGAGTTCTTAAGGCTGCTCTGAAAGCCACTGATGTATAAAAATAAACATACCAAGGTGAGAGACTTCTGGGGACTTGAGCTTCTCCAATATTAGCTTTATGACAAGTTCTTCTGGAATACTGTGACCACTAACCAGCATTGTTTGCAACTAAGAAAAGCACAGATATTTTGCATTACTATATAATAATATCTATGATACAGAGCTTTTTAAAAAAATAATAATTTTGAAATTTAGATTTGTTTACCATAACTCCTGTTTCAGATTCACTGGCAATCTGTTCTTCCAAAATTGTTAAAGCTGAAATATGAATGCAAAATATTAGCACAAACTGGTATTAGAATTGTCAAATTAAGAAACACATTCATGTGTTTTGTAACTGGTAACAAAGATTAACATTTGTATATCACTTTAGAGTTTACAAAGAATGTTTATACACATTACATCATTCAAACCTAAACAAAGTGCTGAGCGGCAGAACATACTCCACAGAGAACATGTCTCTGCCATCTTGGGGAAGCTACCTTCCTAAACACTTCTGTGTCTTGAGCTCTTCACGCCCTGTACAATATACAAGAGACTATTAGGGTGAAATGACATTGTGTACATGACAGTGATTTGGAAATTGTGAAGCACTGCCCGAAAGTGTCTGGACTATGTTATTGGTCCAGATGTTTATAACCATACAGTGATGTCTAGAGCCCATAATATTGCACACTGGTTGTATAAAAAGAAACTATGCATAAAGAAATGATAAAATAGATAAAACCTAATCAGAAAAAGGGTCTTAAAGCTGAAACTTGAATAATGTGTTTCCTTTATAAGAGGAAATACTCCATCACTGTGGAAGACTTCCTGGGGTAGGAATGATAGGGGCATGACCTAGGAAAGGATCCAGGAGCTATACGATGTCCCTAGCTGCTAATAATCTGTGGAACATTTGGTATTCTTTAACATTTCCTATAAATAAATTTTTTTGATCAAAGAAAGAGGAAAATTTAAAATTTTCGTGGGCTTGAGTTCTTGAATTGTCCCCACCAAAAGTGTATCCACTTGCAATTTCACTAACAGCCCATGGAATGCTCATTTCATAACATTCTTGCAAACAATGACTGTAGAAACTTAAATAGTTTACTGCTGGACTTCCAGTCAAGATGGAGCTGTAGGTAAACACAACTTGCTACCTCACACAACCACATCAAAATTACAACTAAACTATAGAACAACCATCACTCAGAACCAATACAAATTGAGTTGAATGGAAGTCTGAAAACTACAGAATTAAAGAAACCACATCCATCCACGCTGGTAAGAGGAGCAGAGATGTGGAACAGGATGGTCCCACATCCATGTGAGGTAGATAAAATTTCAGGAGGACTATCTCAGGAGTGAGGAGTCCTAGCCCCACACCAGATCCCCCCCAGCTCAGGGTTTCAGTGTCAGGAAGGTAAGTCCCCATAACTTCTGGCTGCAAAATCCAGCAGGGATTAAGTCAGTGGAAGAAACTTCTGGAGTCCCAAGCATTTCCTCTTAAAGAAGCCACACATGAATTTACTTAAGACTTACTCCCTCTGAGCTCCAGTACCAGGGTAGCAGCTTGAAAGGCACAGGGGTATGTAGGGAGGAACTGAAGTGTTTGGCTTCAAGGAAAGACCTGGGGAACAGCTTTTTCCCAAAGAAAAAGGCAGGCAGAGGCCATTGTCCCTTTTCTGAACCTTCCCATCACAGAGCCACAGAGCCGGCAGGTGGGTGCCATATCTGAGACTCCATCAACCTGGCTCTTACTATTTGCCCTGCCCTGGAGATCTCCTGACACTCTGTCACACCCAATTTATGGGCTCACCCAATCTGTTAACAGTGGCTTTACCATATGAATGGCTAGTCTTGGATCATGCTTCACAACAACCCCTGACCTCTTGCTAAGTGGTCCCAGGCCCAGTATTAGCAGCAGCCATCCTAAATTCACAGCTTGGCATCACCTGCAATGTCCAGCCCAGCAGAAGTAGCAGCCATCTCAGATTGCTGTATAGTTCATGCAGGGTGGCCTTGGGCAAAACACAGTTGGAGGCTGACCTTGGTCTGCACCACATAGGAAACCCCAGAGGCTGCACACCCAGTGGACAGCTACAGACAACATCAGAGCACCACGACCCTGTCCCTACACAGCTGATCCTCCACAGATGGCAGAGGCTGGTGATCCATGGTCACAGCCAATCCTTGCAGCTGACTGGCCTGGGTAAATCCCTCCCATTGATCTGCCATCAGCGATCAAGGTTCAGTTATAAGAGGAAGGTGTACTCAGCCCTCACAAAGGGTTCACCTCGAATACCCAGCTTGGGTGATAGGGGAGGCTGTGCCACTGGACCCTATAGGACATCTACTACATCAGGCCTTGACACCAAGACAAGGAGTCATAGCAACTCTACCTAGTATATAGAAACAAACACAGGGAGGCTGCCAACATAAGGAGACAAAGAAACATGGTCCAAATGAAAATATAGATCAAAACTCCAGAAAAAGAGCCAAACAAAATGGAGATAAGCAACCTATCAGATGCAGAGTTCAAAATACTGGTTATAGGATGCTAAAAGAAATTAGTGAGGACCTCAGCAGCATAAAAAAGATCCAGTCAGCCCTAGATGATGTGGCTCAGTGGATCGAGTACTAGCCCGTGAACCAAAGGGTCGCCAGCTCGATTCCCAGTCTAGGGCACATGCCTGGGTTGTGGGCCAGGTCTCCACAGTACAGGGTACATAAGAGGAAACCATACATTGATGTTTCGCTCCCTCTCTCTCTCCCTCCCTTCCCCTCTCTAAAAATATACAAATAAAATCTTAAAAAAAAGATCCAGTCAGAAACAAAGGATACACTAATTGAAATAAAGAACAATTTATAAGGAAACAACAGTAGAGTAGATGAAGCCAAGAATCAAATCTATGATTTGGAACATAAGGAAGCAAATAACAACCAGTCAGAATAAGAAGAAGAAACAAAGAAACCAAAAAATGAGGATAGTGTGAGCAGTCTCTGGGACAACTTCAAGATGTCCAACATTTGCATCATAGGGGTGCCAGAAGGAAAAAAGAAAGAACAAGAAATTGCAAATATATTAGAAAAAATAATGAAAGAAAACTTCCTTAATTTTGTGAAGAAAATTGACATGCAATCCAGGAAGCACAGAGAGTCCCAAACAAGATGGATGCAATGAGGCCCACTCCAAGACACATCATAATTAAAATGCCAGAGGTTAAAGATAAAGAGAGACTCTTAAAAGGAATAAGAGAAAAGCAGTTACCTACCAAGGAGTTCCCATAAGACTGGTCAGCTGATTTGTCAAATTAAACTTTGCAGGCTGGAAGGGACTGGCAAGAAATATTCAATGTCGTGAAAAGCAGGGATCTACAGCCAAGATTGTTCAACCCAGTAAAGCTATCATTTAGAATTGAAGGGCAGATAAAGAGCTTCCCAGACAAGAAAAAGCTAAAGGAGTTCAACATCACCATACCATTATTATATGAAATATTAAAGGGACTTATTTAAGAAAAAAAAGATCAAAAGTAGGAACAATAAAATGGCAAAAAATACAAATGTATCAACAATTGACTCTTAAAAACAAACTAAGCAAACAAGAATCATGGATATAGAGAGTGTTTTGATGGCTGCCAGATAGGAGGGGGTGTTGAGGAATGGGTGAAGAGGTGAGGGGAGTAAGAAGTACAAATAGGTAGTTACAGTACAGCATGGGGATATAAATCACAGTGTAGGAAATGGAGTAGCCAAAGAACTTATACCCTTGAACAATGGTGTGGGGACTGTCTGAGGAAGTGGGGGGGTGCTGGGTAGAGGGGAGAAAAGGAAGAAAGATTGGGACAACCGTAACAGAATAATCAATAAAATATAATAAAAAAATTAAAAAGCTTTCTGAGAAGAAAAAAATTTACCTTCAAGTTGATAGGCAAATATCAATCAGTGTTATTTTAATTAGCATTTCTTTGAATAACAATGATGTTAAACTCTTTTTTCTTATATTTGCTTATATTTGTTTCTACTTTTGTGAACTTTTTTTCTATAAGGGCATAAGTAGTTTTATTAATTGAGAGAAATTATTCTTTATAAAATATTTATAAATGTATCAATCCTTGTCTAATATATTACAAAGAATTCAATTCAATTTATAAATAATAAAAAATAAATTTATCACCAAAGATAGTTAAGTCCTGGAAAATATTCCCAAGAGCAACTATAAGAGTTCCTTCTCTTTTCATTTTTCATAGGGAGACAACTCAGAGACACACCTCTTCAATAGTTCTGAATTATGAAATAAGAGATTTGGAAGCAACAGAATGAAGTTGAAAACCCTTCATAAACCCCTCTAAATTCTATGAACAAAACTAGGACTAACTGGAGGGCAACATGTTTGATGTTATCATCAAGAAAATTCACTGGGTTGATAGTGATGTATGATAAAGCAAATATAGCAAAATGTGAATCACAGATGGTAGATGATGAGATGATTTATATGAGCATTCATTGTGTAACTCTTTTTTAAAAATCTGTACCTGAAGATATGTTTATTGATTTGAGAGAGAGGGACAGAGAGAGACAGACAGACAGACAGACAGACAAACATCGATGTGAGAAACACCTATTAGCTGCCTCCCATACACACCACAACTGGGGACCGAGCCCACGGCATAGGTGTGTGCCCCAACTGGAAATCGAACCCACAACCTTTTGGTGTATGGGACAATGCTCCAACCACCTGAGCCATCTGGCCATTGCATAATTCTTTACTTTTTATGCATGTTTGAAAGTTGTTATGCCAAAATATTGGGTAAAAAAGTAAAATTTACCTTCCACATGAATACATTTCCATTCTTGTGCTATTTGGCGGGCCAATGTTGTCTTCCCAATGCCCTTAAAAGAAAGGTGTTATTTAAAACCCAATAAAATTGTTATTTGCCAGTGGAACAGATATTCTCATTTTAAAAGACCCTATTGATTGTTACTATATTATCAAATAAATTATTTTGCAAAATAAATTAAGAGTAGATCCAAGAAATTTATAGCTTCATTTTTCTCTAATTGTTGCAAAAAATCTTTTTGAATTAAGAAAATAGCCCTAAAACCAGGAAGCTCTACTAAAGTGGTATTCCAGGTATTAAACACTTTTGAATGCCAAATTTTGTAATTTTGAATATAAATCATTATGATTCTATTGAGATACACCATTTTATTTTCTTCTGAAAGTCTGTAATCATGAATGTTTTGAGACTTTTATTTAGTAACTTCCAAGAGCAAAAAAGCTCTTAATGGACATCTTTGAAAAGTATCATATTTTAAAGGTAAAAGATCACTTTAATGAAGTAATAGTTGCATCTGATTACCTTCACTGTTGACTTTAAAAACTCTAATTTGTTTTTAGAAACACAATAAAAGCTACTGGTATTTGTCCCAGGGCCATATAAAATTAAGTCAAAAACAGGATCCAACCCTTGGACTCTGCTGTTCTGGAGAGGCTCCTTAATTAACCAGCTCAGGCCCTCTAATACTGTAACTACCCGCTAGCTCCATGGCTGAAAACAGCTCTTGTCTACAGGTCCTTACTAGAGCTGCCTAGAAAGGGAAGTTATCCCATCACCACCATTTTTGGTTTCTTCCTGTTTTGTAGAAAGACACTGCATAGGTTCACTCACTGTGGGCAAAGGTGAGGCACCTTGCCTCTTAAGCTTCAGATATTAACGGGAGAACCTCCCATTTGTCCTTTACTGTCCCACCTCACATATCCAGAGAACCTTACAACAAATTCCACAGAAAGTTTTATATGCAAATTGAGTCAGATAAAACCTTGGATCACATACTATTAACTGTCATGGTACAATGCTTTGATGAGTTAATTTCTTTATAATATAAAACCAAAGATAAACACAATCTAGGTTCCTTTGAGATTATAATGCACAAGAAGAAAGTTATAAATTTACAACCAGTATCATATCAGGTTGTAAGTCATACAATGAAAGTCTAACAAACACAAAAATTACCACACTGTGGCTTTCATTCTATGACAACGTAAGGTTGATTTTAAAAATTAAAAAATTATACTAAGTAGAAGAGATAGCTTACTGGTTTCCCAAATATAACAAAGCAAACAGGTTTAGACAACATAAAGTCTTCATCAGCTTCATCTTCACTAAATATATCCACAAAAGGATGCTCTTCTATCTTCTCTTGAGAAGTCATAATACAAAATACTGCAATGAGAAAGAGTAAGATTATTAGTGTTTAATTAAGTCAGAACAGGTGGGCAGGCTAGGGAGAACTAGAATGTCCTGTCAGTTTGCTTTGCCCAGAAGCCTTTTCACACCACTAACCACTAACCACATGTCTTTTCCTAATAACTGCAAGTTAAACTCATGTGTTAAAATCATAATAGGCTCTGAGTTTGAGATAAAAAGCAAAACCCAGTTATATTCTGTAAAAAAGATAGCTAAACCAAAATGCTTCTGAAAGACTAAAGGGGAAAACACATATGTGTACATGTATATACACACGTTATGATGTGTATATTTGATCAAAGAACAAATTGAATGTTATATATATATACACACCTCTATTTGTGTGTGTGTGTGTAGGGACTACCAATGGCTCTAAAATAAATCCTAATGAAAATAATAAAATATGTAGAACTGAAAAATGATGAACATAATAGGTATCAAAACTTGTATAACACAGCTAAAGTAGTATTTAGAAGCCTTAAATATTTACATCCGAACTAAAGAATGTCTGAAAAGTAATAAGCTCACAATCTAAGAATTTTGAAAAACTGAAAAAAAGAAAAATATATTTTTAAAATTACTAAAATCAAATATAAACATTATATAAAGAGGACCAACAAAGCTAAACAGTGGTATTTTGAAACAACTTATAAATAAAAAATCTCTGTCAAGGGTGATCAAGAAAATAAAATAGAAGACACAATTAAACAATATTAAACATTAGTTTTTACAAGTGTGTTTCCTTACATCTTAAAACTAAGATTTTTCTATGTGTTTGTTGTTTATTTCTAACATTATATCAGAGAATGTTCTTCATGTTAGACTAATTCTTTGAAATTTGTTAAGGCTTGCCTTCTGGTCTATCACAGGGTAATCTCCAAAAACAATCCTCTATATCCTTGCACAGAATATGCAATTTACACTTATTTGACATCATGTTCATTAAATATTGTTTACACCAAGTTTGTTAATTTTATTGGTTGACTCTTCCATAACTTACTGATTTACTGCCTATGTGATCAAACAGTATTATAGAAAAGTGGAAGGACTATAGAGATAAAAATGCTACAGATATAGATAATAAAGGATACGAACACAGTTATCCAAAATAAATTTGAAAACCTAAACAAAATTGACTATTTCATAGAAAAATCAGTTTATCCAGGGAAAAAGAAAAGAAAGCCTGAGTAGTTCTATAACTATTAAGGAAATGAAATCCGTAACTAAAAAGTCTTTCCACAGAGGAGCCAGATGGTTTAATTGAAGAGACTCGTGTCTTGTGATCTAACACTCTTTCAGGAAAAAGATAAAGTACAGACTTCTTACATGATTTTATGTGTCTCACATAACCTCCATAGCTAAGCCAGAAAATAGTGTAAAAAATCAAAATTATGTGCCAACTGCCTTTATGAACCAGGTTTTAAAAATCTTAACCAACATAATAGCAAACTGAATCCAGAAATATATAAAATATATAATGACATCATGATCAAGTTGTGTTTTCCTCAGGAATTCAAGGGTGGTTTAATATGAGAAAATGAAATTATCACCTTAAATAAAGGAGAAAAACTATATAATTATCTAAATAGAAAAAACATGAAATAATTCAACACCCTTTTATGATTAATACAAGATAAACTATTAGGAACTAGGAACAGAAGGAAACTTCTTTCACTTGATAAAGGGTATGAAAAAAGGACAAACATATTTAATGATTAAATGTTAAAAAGGTCTCTTTAAGGTCATAACAAAACAAAAGAAAGAAAAGTGTAATCATTTCCAGTTGATACAATTACCTGTGTAGAAAACCCAACCATGGATAAATTTTAAGAATTAATGAAACGATCCAGTTTTCTGAATTTAAAATCATTATACAAAATGCTGTTAATTTCTACACATCAAAATAGCTAGAAAATGTAATAAAAAATAAATATGACTTAACAACTAACATATAAAGTAGCCAGGATTAAATAGAACAAAACCTATACAAGCCCTTTATGGAAAAACTACAAAACCTTATAAAAAGACTTAAATATGCAAACTTCAAAAATGGAACCAAATTATGTCCAAGTGGTCTTGGACACTGTTCAGGGAACAATAAACAAATGGATTGAGCAGGTTATATGCTTCCAGGTAAGTAAGACACACTTGTACTTCTCTGTGGAAGTTAAGAATTTTCAAGTGGGTTTAATGTAACTATTATTTTAAGGTGTGAACATGAAACATGACAGCAAGAAATATTACTCATATATTAAAAAGATTATAATGGATACTTCATCAACTACAGGGCTGAAATTTTAAGTTTTTTATACCCCCCCCAAGTAAATAATACTACCATAAATGTAGTTTTAAAGGGGAAAGTGCACCTACACCTTTTAGAGACCTGATGAATTTATCAGAGAGGCCTTATTATATACTAAAACCAGGGCTCTAAGGCCTGGAATGCGGCTACCTAGGCAGATGTCTAAGTACCTTGTACCTTATCACTCTGAGTGCTCTGCATTAAGAGAAGTAGCCCCTCCTCCTATCTGGAACACTGCAGCCTCTTCGTGCCTGGCTTAAGGCAGATGCCTCAGAAGATACTGCTTACCTTCCATAAGATCAGCCTTCACCTTCCCTCATAGCTTATAGGGTAGTAGCTGAGGTCAAATGTCAGCCCAGACTAACTGGGGAGGCACTGGTACAGGAAAAAAAGGTACTGAGCACCAAAAGAGCTGAGGGGCCTGGCCACGATGTACCACTAGGAACCAGAACATCCTGGGAGAAGATCTTGAGGGTGCTTATTGGGGGAATGTTGACTGGATAAGAGTTTACTGATATGTGGGCTCTCTCAGGACTCAGGCTTTAACGTCCTGGCTAGGACACCTGGAGCGGGTCCTAATACACTTGGTCAAGGGCCTGGAAGGAGCAAGACTGGAAGATAAAAGAATTTGGGGGAAGAAGCATGTGAGTGGACTTATGAGAGTGATGTAGTGAACACACTCTGAGGTGACCTCTAATGACTCACACCCTCCTATAATTCTCTTCCTTTGATTACAGTCTCTGACTTGCTTCTAAATACAGCAAAAGTAATAGAAATGTCACTCCCATAACATTATGTTATATAAATAAGATTTCACCTTAGTAGACTGGACAGAGACACCTGATTGGCTCTGAAGAAATAAGTTGCTATGTTATAAAAGGACCGCATGGCAAGGAAGAGCAGGTGGCCTCCAAAGGCAGAGAGCAGCCACTGGCCACCAACCAGTAATAAAACTGGGACTTCAGTCCTAGAGATAAATTTTGCCAACAATGTGAATTAGCTTGGAAGTGAATTCTTCCATTGTTGGGCCCCAGGTAAAAATGCAGCTCGGCCAACACCTTGAGTGCAGCCTTGTGAGACCCTGAGCAGAAGACCTAGTTAAGCTATGCCAGGTCTTCTGGACATGGAAAAATGTGAGATAATAAACATGTGTTGCTTTAAAATGCTAAATTTGTGGTCATTTGTTATGCTGCATAGAAAACTGATACAAATCACAAAATGTGAGCTTTGTGTCTCACAAAGCATCCATCTCAGAAGAGGCACTCATCAACCAGGTGGACAAGACAATTATGCAGTAAATGCCAACTAGTCTTTGTCCTTGTCATCTCAGTGCTCAAAACTGGAGTAAGCATGGTGGCAGGGATGGGCGGCGAAGGAGGCTGTACTTGGGCTCAACAAGGCTCCCTCTTACCAGGCTGGTCTAGCTACTACTTCTGCTGGATGTCTTACTGTCTGCAGCAGAGACTGAAGATGAGCCCTCAGTATGCTACGTCATCTATTCAGTGGCAAACTGGTTACACAGGACCCCTTCACCTTGGAGAGGGCAGCAGGTGATAAGTGTTCCTAGTATGGTTTTGCCTTCTGTACCTGCAGTGCCTTGGGCAGCACTGCTCTCTAAGGAGTGGAGTTGTCTCATTTATCATCATGGGATCCCATGTAAGATTGCTTTGGATCAAAGGAATCTCTTCATGGTAATGGAGATATGAGGAGGAGGATCCACTGGTCGTACCATATACCACCTCATCTAGAAGCTGCTGGTCTGAGATTGTTAAAGTGGCCTCTTAAAGTACCAGTTTGTAATTGCGTGGGACTAAGACATTACTTTAAGATGAGGATTCAGCTTTGAACCAAGCGAGGGTAAGAGTGGCTCCTCCGCCCAGGCTGGTGCAGCTCAGTGGGTTGAGCATGGGCTGCAAACCAAAGCATTGCAGGTTCAATTCCCAGTCAGGGAATATGCCTGGGTTGCAAGCCACGGCCCCCAGCAATCACACATTGATGTTTCTCTCTCTCTTTCTTCCTCCCTTCCCTCTCTAAAAAGAGTGGCTCCTCCCACTATCACTGTGATTGACATGAGGAATTTGCACCAACCTTCATAACCTGAGGTTCTATTGGACCGGAAGTCCTGGTTTTGATTCAGGAGAGAGATGCTTCTTTCAGGAGATCCACTTAGTTAGGCTTCACTAAACCTCAAATTGCTGTTGCCACCTGGTCATGTTTGGCTCCACATACATGTTAAGGAGTCATTACACTGGTGGAGATACAGCTGCTGCTACATGAGTGGGGCAGGGGGATGTATGTCTTGAACTCAGGTGATTCTCTGAGACTCCTCTTGGTGCATTCTTAGCCAGTGAATGGATAACTGTAGCAACCAGAACTCGATGATGACACAGTAACCAGGGGTTTACACACTTCAGGGACAAAAGCTGGTTTTCCCGACTAGTAAAACAACTTAGACCAGCAGAAATGCTGGCCAAGGGAAAGGGAAATTTAGAATGGGTGTTAAAGGAGGGAGGTGACGAATTCCCAGTTACAGACTTAGGATTAATTGCAGTAGTGGATTCTGTAGCTTGTCCTGCTAATCATCTTTCTGTGAGTCCACTTCTTTTAGAAACTGGGACCAGATACCATGTTAAAGAATCAGTGATGATAGTGTAAACTGGACATGG